CAATCCTAGGGGATCCTGAATTGAAGTATACATAAACGTGTGTTAGTCCAGGGCTCATGTCATGGTTTGGGGTCTGAGAGGTGGAAAAATGTAGGCAGACGTTTTGAATTTGAGAGACCTCTAGAAATGATAAGGGCTTCAGGGTTTGAGTCTCGTAAGCCAGGTTTTTGATGAAGCTCCTACATTCTAAGCCTAAACCTTATAGCTTTGTCCCCAAGATGTATACACCCTCACTCCTACAGCTACACCCTAAACCCTAAACCCTAAACCCTTATAACCCTAAACCCTAAACCCCAAACCCTAAACCCTGAACGAACCCTAAAGTTCGTCTATCGTTGGGGAAGAGATGGCGCCTTTCAGGTGTAAGGCCATCCCGCCCCTGGCTGTCGGGCGCCCTGGGTGGGGTCCCGTGCTCTTCAGGACTTTTTGTGCGCCGATGTTTGGGTTAAGGGTTTCAGGGGAGAGGTCTTGGGGGGGGGTTTTTTGGGGGGGGGGGGGGTGTGGGGGATGTCGGGAAGTAGGGATCAGGCTTCGGGGGTAGTCAGGGTTGAGGGTTGAGGGTTCGGAAGCAAGCCTTACGGCTTTTTTAGTAGGGTCCATGTGGACCCTAAACGCCAAATCCACAACGCCGTTGCCCTGACCCCCTAAACCCAATGTAATCCGACCCAAAGCCCCCAAAGTCAAAACCCTAACCCTAAACCCTAAACCCTAAACCCTAAGAGCCCCTCAAGAAACCCTTACCTAGCTCTGTTCCCCCTTATACTAACAGTCCTTCATAGGGATTCTAATTTGGGTACTCTAAACCCGAAATACTAAACCCTCAACCCTAAGCACAAAATTACTCCCTTCCCTATTAAGGACTGTTCGTATAAGGGGATCCCCCCAACCCTAAACCCTAAACCCTAAACTCTAAACCCTAAACCCAAGCTTAACCCGAAGCTTGCGAAGGCAACGCTCCAGTGTGTGAACCACGCCGGCAGCAAGATCAGCCAGTGCGGCTCCTTAGGGTGGGAGTTAGGGTTTGGGGTTTACGGGTTTTCGGGTTTGGGCTTTGGGGTTTGGGGTGTGGGGTTTGGGGTTTGGGGCTTCAAGTTTAGGCTCTTCGGCTTTCGGGGGTTAGGGTTTAGGGGTTAGGGTTTGGCGTGTAGGGCGTAGGCCCTCGGGTTTTGGGGGCTTATGGTTTTGTTTGCATCCAAGCTCTACAGGACCTCCGACAATAAACCCTCGTCCTTGACCCTCAACCCTAAACCCTAGTCCTAAACCCTAAAAGTCTAGTCCCTAAACCCTGAAAACTGCTGGATTCAGGGCGTCCCTAGGTTTTGGGGGGTGGCAGGTCAGGGTCGATAGGGTCTCGGGTGCCAGCCCTGGTTGTTGACACCCGAAACCGGGTTTCGGTTTCAGGGTTTGGGGTTTAGGGTATAGGGTTCAGGGTTAGGCTTTTAATGTTAGGGTTTAGGGGTTAGGGGTTAGGGGTTAGGGGTTAGGTCTCCAAGCTTCTCTAAAGGCTCAGAAGTATGAGCGCTTCGGTTGCATAAAGGGCAATGTGAGGAGAATATAGGGGCTCCCGAAGTAAGGCCCCTTGCTAAGGGCCCTGGTAGCTACCTGAAGACTCATAAACCCCCTTATACGCTAACCCCGACATTTATGCCCTAGACCAAACATTAGGCCCGACTTCGACTCCTACAAGACCCTGTTCTATCCGGAGGACCTGGAGTTTTCGGGGGAGGGGGGATTTTGGCGCTGTTTGGGGGGAGTTGCTTGCTGGGCCTGGTAGGTTTATTGTTTAGGGCTTAGAATCCCTAAACCCCAAACCCCAAACCCCAAACCCCAAACCCCAAACCCCAAACCCCAAACCCTAAACCCTAAACCCTAAACTTATGTGAGCTTTGGGCTTGTAGGAGGCGTTCAGTGACTGCTCAAACCGTGGGGTTGTAGGGTTTTAAGGCTCAGTTCCTGTTTCATGGTCAGGGGCTTCGGGTTCAGCGTTTGCCTGTGCAGGGTTTTGGGTTTAAGGGCTTTTAGGGTTTAGGACAAGTTTAGGAGTTTGAGTGTATTTCGGGTCTTCTGTGGTATTCCTAGCCACGAGGGATCTATGCTCTATGAGAGTGCCGGAACCCTAAACCCTATGCCTTATAAGCCCTAAGCCCCAAACCCCCCGATCTCGCCTCGGTTCATTCAATCTTTCTGCAACAAATGCTTGCAGAGGGGTTAGGGGGGGGGGGTTAAAGGCGCTGTAGTTCGGATGTTCCCCCTTAATGTTAGACTGTTAGACCCGCTTTAGTAGGGGCCTCCCCTTTACAGTCAATTTGGCCAAATTATTCAGGACCCCCTGACTGTTTGCGGGGTCTCCTTTAAAGTCAAACCGTCCGGGCGCCGTAAGAAAGTTCCACGTGGCGCGCCTTTAAAAAAGATAACCGGGCATCGCTGCCCCTTTTAAACCTATCTAAACTCCTCCCTATTGAAATCATATAAGCCCCCGGGGCCGTGTAATCAGGCTCCCATCCACGCCTCAACTGTTCGGGGGGAGGGGGGGGGGGGCCCAACACACTAAAGAGGGTCCAACATTATATACCTTAATCCGGATGTTCCCCCTTATATACCTTAATCGAGATTATAGTCCCCCCCCCGATTATCATTCTTATTAAGGATCTTATACCTTAATTAACAGGGATTATACCCTGAACCCTAAACCCTAAACCCTAAACCCCCTTAACCCTAAACCGAACTTTGCAATTCCTATTCAGGACTGTTAGGAGAAGGGGGAACATACCGAGGCTTTAGTCTCTTGCTTGGGGCCGAGCGTGTTTTTTCTTTTTTTTAACGGGCTGGCCTCCTAAACCCTAAACCCTAAACCCTAAACCCTAAACCCTAAACCCTAAACCCTCGTCTAGAGAGGAAACCCTGAAGGCAAATCCCGTTCCTTGGGCTTTGGGTTTGTTAACTGAGAGCGTTCCGGGCCTTCGCGTTTTTGTAGTTGCGGGGGGGGGTTTTGAAATGCCAGGTCAACATTAGGGCCTCAGGTTTTGGGGTAAGTTTAGGTTTGAGGGTGTGGTGTGATACGGGGGCCCACGCATATCCGACTGAGGTACAGGACCCTCAAGGCAAGCCCGACACCCCCCTCCGCGCCGCCGTCTTTCGCTGCAACAGCCGCTGCTGTAGCATTTAGGAAATCTCAGCAAAATTCAACGCGCAAACTCTACACCCCACACCCCCCCCCCCACCCTAAATCCCCAAACCCTGAGCCCAATAAGCCCTAGACCCCGAACCCTAAATCCCAAATCCTAAACCCTAGAACCCTAATGCAGACTCCACGCCCCAAAGGCTCAAAGGAAGCCCGTGAGACAGCAAAGGTCCCCCGGAACTCGACTGCCTTGGCACCCTCAACCCTAAACCCTAAACCCCAGGCCCAAACCCTAAAACCTAAACCCTAAACCCTAAACCCTAAACCCTAACCCGAAACTCTAAACCGGCCAAAGACGGCCCACACCCCGACTTAAAACCGCGACGCTCGTCTAGGGTTCAGGGCTAGAGTCTAGCAAGCCTTAACCCGCAGCCCCTTGATTCCTTCAATCCTGAATCCCTGACTCTACACCCTAAGCCCTAAGCCCTAAGCCCTAAACCCTAAACCCTAAACCCAAAACCCCCAAAAAGAACCCCAACATGGCTCCCTGTCGCGCGAGCCGATTGGGTTGGGTCCTTCCCTGGCTCCCGTGGGCCTGGTCAGCGCAGCAGCTCGTTGTGGAAGAGAGGGGTTGAAGGTTTAGGGTTTAGGGTTTAGGGTTTAGGGTTTAGGGTTTAGGGTTTAGGGTTTAGGGTTTAGGGTTTAGGGCTACGTAGGGTTTAGGGTGCAGGGTTTCTGGTTTCGGGCTGATCTCTTAGGGCTTAGGGTTAAGGCTCTAGGGCTCTTTGGTTTAGTTTTCGGTGCGCTGGCATGTACTTTACCCCCCCCTGTTTGTGGTACTGCTTTCACAACTCCTTGAGAAATGTCATTGGGCTTTCGGGCTTTTGAAGTTCAGTATTGTTTGTTCTTTTGTGTTTGGCGTTGGCGGTTGAACCACCAAATCCTCCCTACAAACCCTAAACCCTCAACCCTCAAATTCAACATGGACTGTTGGGGCTTGCTTTTCACCTCCCCGTGAAGCTCTGCTTCGCAGCTGCGCATGTTGAGTGTTTAGGTTCTAGGGCTTAGGGTTTAGGGCTTAGGGTTTAGCCTTCACGGCTTAGGGTTAAGGGTTTAGGGTTTATGGTTGAGAGTTTAGGGTCTAGGGATTCTTCGGGATTTTGGGGTTTGGCATTAGGGTTGCGGGTTCTTTGGGCAGGTGTTGGCCAAGAACTTTAAGGCTTCAAGTTTAACCAAAAAGAAGGCTTATGAGGGGCTTGTAGCGTTTTTAGGGCTTATGCATCTGCAAGCTATCGGGAGTTGGAGCTTGTGGTGTTGGGTCGGGCTTAGGCTTCAAGAGTTTGAAAAGTCGGAGAACTGACTCAAGCACCGTCAAAGGGCAAACCACTCCTGAACACAACCGGGCCGAAAGCCCCATAAAGTATCTTAGACCCTAAATCCTAAAACCCTAAAGCACTAAAGCCCTAAAACCCTAAAGCCTCGAATCTTACTCCCAAGCTCGTGAGTTCCTTGCTCAAAAACAAAGGCCCCGCAACCCGAAGCCGTAAACCCAAAGCCCCAAGAACAACCCTACCACCCTACACTCCAAACCCTAACCCTAAACCCTAAACCCTAAACCCTAAACCCTATACCGCAAATCTTAAACCCTAAGCCCTGGAGCTTAAACGCTAACGCCCTAAACCCTAAACTCCAAACCCCAAACCCAAAACTCCAAACCCCAAACCCTAAACCTTAAGGCCCTAACCTCTAACCCCCAAACCTTAAGGCCCTAAACCCTGAACCCTAAAACCCTACACCCTAAACCACAAACCCCTGAAACCCTGAACCCTTGGCCCTGAGCTCAGCAACTAAAACCATGAAGCCAAGCCAAGCCGCCCAGGGAGGCGGAGCCGGAGGACGCCGTTTAGGGTTTAGGGTTTAGGGTTTAGGGTTTAGGGTTTAGGGTTTAGGGTTTAGGGTTTAGGGTTTAGGGTTTAGGGTTTAAGGCTAGTTCAGGGTTTAGGGTTTAGGGTTCAGGGTTTCGGGGAGGTTCCTACGCCTAAAATTCCACAGGCCGAGGGTGCCGACTTGGGGTTGTGGACGCAAGGCAATCGGGCCAAAAGTTGTCAGGCTTGGGGGTTGGAGGTTTAGGTTTAGGGTTTAGGGTTTGGGGTTTAGGGTTTAGGGTTTAGGGTTTACGGTCTAGGGATTGGGATTTAGGGTTTCAAGGGTCAGGGCCTAGGTGAACTCCATCCTTTCTTTATGGGTACAGCAGCCATGGTTGCAAGTTGTCTGCAAAATGTGTGTTTGAGCGGTTGGAACGACACACAGTCATGATTTTCTCCACGCCCTCAACCACCCAGGGGCTTCCCAGCGGGTTAGACTTTTGGGGCTTGCCCTTGACCTCTAAAGCCCAAGCCCCAAAAAAGGCAACGTCTCACCTCGCACACCAAGAAAGATTGCAAAGCAAGACTGGGTTGTTTGGGTTTTGGCAGTCAAGAACCACAAGCCTGAGCCCCAAGCCCTCAACCTGAGCCTTAAAAACCCTAGATTCCGAACGCGAGGTTGCCTAAGCGGAGCCCTGTAGGGGTCCGTGGATCCCCTAAACCCCCCTAAACCCCCCTAAACCCCCCTAAACCCCCCTAAACCCCCCTAAACCCCCCTAAACCCCCCTAAACCCCCCTAAACCCCCAAACCCCCTAAACCCCTAAACCCGACTCTCGGATAGCATAGTAGCGTACCATGCGCCCGAGGAGGAGCAGTATTGGAGACCGACGCTGGGGGACCTGGTTTGAGGGTTTAGGGTTTAGGGTTTAGGGTTTAGGGTTTTAGGGTTTAGGGTTTAGGGTTTAGGGTTTAGGGTTTAGGGTTGTTGATTTGTGGAATTTGTTCATAGCGTTATATAGGGTTAATCAATAGGGTTAGAGGTTCATAGGGTGATAGAGGGTTTCAGGGTTCTAGGTTCATCGGCTTGTAGGGTTCATCGGGTTTATAGGGTTTTAGGTTCACAGGGTTATAGGGTTTACAGGGTTATAGGGTTCTAGACTGTAGGGTTATAAGGTTATAGGGACTTGGGATTAGGGTTATGGGCTTATGGGGTTATAGGGTTACAGGTCAGAGGTTGTAGGGTTCCGGGTTGTAGGGTCTAGTTCGGGTTATAGGGTTGAGGGTTAAAGGTTTGGGTTTAGGGCTTCGCTTTGAAGAGGGCTTCTAAGGGTCTTCTGAGGGTTTAAGGTTCAGGGTTGGGGCCCCTTTCTTGCCATGCGTGTGTAGCACGGGAAAAAATGCAAGTTGGGCGAGGAGAAGAGAGGGGACCCTAAACCCTAAACCCTAAACCCTAAACCCTAAACCCTAAACCCTAAACCCTAAACCCTAAACCCTAAACCCTAAACCCTAAACCCTGAACCTCGAGGCGGCCATAGAGGCACCGATCCCTGAACCCCGAAACCCCTAAACCCTCAATGGCCCTGAAGGCCCAGGCCCTACACCCTAGACCCTGAAAATCCCAAAGCCGCGAAAGCGGCCTTACACCCCAAACCCAAAGAGGGTTTAGGGTTTAGGGTTTAGGGTTTAGGGTTTAGGGTTTAGGGTTTAGGGTTTAGCCTTGAGCCCTTACAAACACAGGCCCGGCGCGGTCCCTCCCTTTGACGCGCCCCGGATACGTGAGCCTACCCGCCGCCCGTCATGATCTGGGTGATGCTGGGCTTAGGGTTTGGGGTTTAGGGTTTAGGGTTTAGGGTTGAGGATTTAGGGTTTAGGGCTTCAGAGGTTTGGGAGTTGAGGGTGGTGGGCTCGGGGTTAGGTGCTTCAGGGTTCCTGGGGTCCTAGGAGGCCGAGTCGTATGTTGGGTTCTGAGTTCTTACCACAATCAACACCTAAGTGGTCCCCCATGATGGAATATGGCCACTACATAAATAAAGGGCTTCACTTCCCTGGGTAGTTTAGGGTTTAGGGGTTGAGGGTTTGGGGTTTAGGGTTTAGGGTTTAGGGGTTTAGGGTTTAGGGTTTATGGGCTTAGGGTTTTGGGTTTAGGGTTTAGGGTTTAGGGGCTTAGGGTTTTGGGTTTAGGGTTTAGGGTTTAGGGGTTTAGGGTTTTGGGTTTTAGGGTTGAGGGCTTAAGGGCAGCCGACCAAGACCGCAAGCCGCAAACGCCCTGCAGCGATAAACCGCCAATCACAAGAGCTCAGAGAAGAAGAGGTGTCCATCCCAGAATTCCCCAAAAAAGCCCCAAAGCCTAAACCCTAAATCCTTAACTCCTGGCAGCCTAGACCCCCAAAAACCCTACAAAGATAGAACGCCCCAAACTTCTCAAAGCAACAAAGACACGGGGCTTGTGTTGCTGTTCTTGGTGAGTGTACAAACACAGGGTTCCTCATACATCTTGGTGGGTGTAGATGTTGGGTCCCTCAGGCTCAAAAAAGCCAAAGAACCTTGTTTAGGAAGGCTCTTTGGGCCCAAAAACCCTAAAACAGGGGTCCTTAGAGGCTTAGGGCCTCGGTTTAGGGTTTAGGCTTCGTGGTTTGGCTTCGGGTTTGCGGTTTAGGATTTAGGGTTTGGGGTTTGGGGTTAAAGCGACCCTTGCTTCCTCAACAGCAATCCAGCACACACGAAACAGGTAGTGTAAGCATTATACATCAGAGTCAAGGAATGAAGACTCGTACCCCTAAGGTTGTAGGTTCCCCTTAATCTACTCCTAACTTGGCCCTTATGTTCCCTTTATGAAGGATCCTTAGACAGGACACCCCTCCCCCCCCAAACCCAACGGTATGACCTTAAGGGTCCAAGGTATGACCCTAGATTACTATAGCCCAGAGAGCCCCGACAGTCCAGGCAAGCAGTTTGAGCAGTTGATCTTGGATGGAAAGGCCGCCCCGCTTCCTCCCCTAAACCCTATAAACCCTGAACCCTTAACCCTGGAAACTCTATCGGAATAGGCTTGCGAAACTTTTTGGTTCAGGGTTTTGGGGGGGGGGGGGGGTTTGGGCCTCTGGGCATGGACAGTTTAGGGTTTAGGGTTTAGGGATTCAGGGTTCGATCTAGAACAGCTACTTGGCAGAGCCGAAGATAGCTGGGGGAGGCCAAGCCCTGCGCCCTAAACCCTAAACCCTACACCCTAAACCCTAAACCCTACACCCTAAACCCTAAACCCTAAACCCTAAACCCTAAACCCGAAACCCGAAACCCTAAACCCTAAACCCTAAACCCTAACCCTGGCAACTCTATTGGAAGACACTGCATACCCTACATCCCGAACGGAGAGCCAACAAGGTCCCAAGCTTTGTCTCAGCTAAACCCTAAACCCTAAACCGGAAACCCTTAACCCTAAGCACTTTGTTCGCAGGACCTATCCATGATGTTTCAGTTACCCCGAGCACAGCACAGCCCAAGCTTGCCCTAAACCCTCACCCTAGACCCCTAAACCCTAAGCCCTAAACCCGAAGCCCTAAAGCTTAAACCCTAAACCCCAAGTCCTAAACCCTAAAACCCAAGCCCCAAACCCTAAATCTTAAAAACCTTAAACCCTAAACCTTAAGCCCTAAACCTTAAACCCTAAACCTTAAACCCTAAACCCTAGACCCTAAACCCCTAAAACCCTAACCCTCTAACAGCCCTCAACCCTGAAAACCCCAAACCCTAAACCCCAAGCCCTAAACCCTAAACCCTAACAGCCCTAAACCTCAAACCCTAAACCCTAAACCCCAAAAACCCCAAACCCTAGATTTTCGTCGTCCCGGACATCAGCGCCGACTGGGAGCTCCGTCGCTGGGACTGCCGGGGGACCTGGGCCTGTTCGCCTGCACTTCTTGGGTTTAGGGTTTTGGGGTTTAGGGCTTAGGGTTTTGGGGTTTAGGGTTTGGAGTTTAGGGTTTAGGGTTTAGGGTTCAGGGTTTTGGGGTTTAGGGTTTAGGGTTTTGGGGTTTAGGGTTTAGGGCTTGGGGCTTGGGGTTTGGGGTTTAGGGTTCAGAGTTCAGGGTTTTGGGGCCTGTGTGTAGCCTTGGGTCTAATTAGGTTGGAGGGTTTGGTGTTTAGGGTTTGGAGTTTAGGGTTAAGGGCCGTAATATGTGGTCATTACGCAGACGACCCTGGGGGGGGGGGGGGGGGGTCCTGCAACCCTAAATCCTAAGCCCTAAACCCTAAACCCTAAACCCTTTGAGGGTTAAGGGATGTGCTGTTTTAAGGTTAGGTATGACATGTTTGCAGGGCATCAGGGCTTTCAGGACAGCAGGGCCTGCAACGAATCCACGAATCGGAGCTTTGGCAAACCCGAACTGAGCCCTAAGCCTAGGGTTTAAGGTTTAGGGTTTAGGGTTTAGGGTTTGGGGTTTGGGGTTTGGGGTTTGGGGTTTAGGGTTTAGGACCCTTATTCCCTCCTTTTAGGGTCTAGGGCCCCTTATTAATTCCTTAAAACCAAAAAGGGCACCCTTTTTATTCCCAGGTTACTCGGGGTCTGGGCAACTAACCCTTATAGGACTCCCAGGCCCTAGAACCCCCCAGTGCCCGAGCTTCAAAGTGTTTAGGGTTTAGGGTTTAGGGTTTAGGGTTCAAGGCGACTTCTTTCAGACTGACCCGGAGTTCAAGAAAGCTGCGTGGGACTCAGGTGGTTGGGCAGGCACCTTTTATTTTTTTTCCGGAGCCCTAAGCCCTAAACCCTAAACTTCAACCCTAAAACCCTAAAAAAAAACTAAACCCTGGGGCTCGCAAGTGCACAAAATGAACTGCCTAGTTTGGGTTTTATATACACCCCAAAACCTAAACCCTAAACCCTAAACCCTTAACCCTTAACCCTTAACCCTTAACCCTTAACCCTTAAACCCTTAACCCTTAACCCTCAACCCTCAACCCTTAACCCTTAACCCTTAAACCCTAAACCCTAAACCCTAAACCCTAAACCCTAAACCCTAAACCCTAAACCCTAAACCCTAAACCCTAAACCCTAAACCCTAAACCCTAAACCCTAACCCTAAACCCGAAACCCGAAACCCTAAACCCTAAACCCTAAACCCTAAACCCTAAACCCTAAATCCTAAACCCAAGACTTGGGTTTAGGGATGGGTCTCATGTGCACCAAGCCTGCTATGGGTTGTTTGTTGGTTTCGGGTTTAGGGTATTGCCGAGGGCCTCCAACAAGCCCACAGTAGGTATTGCGCAACACCCTAAACCCTAAACCCTAAACCCTAAACCCTAAACCCTAAACCCTAAACCCTAAACCTTCCACCCTCAGAACTCCGCACTTCACAATACCATAAGCAAGCAGACCAAACTAACCCTGAGCCCTCAATTCGTGCTCGGGCTCAGGCCCCCTAAACCCTAAACCCTAAACCCTAAACCCTAAACCCTAAACCCTAAACCCTAAACCCTAAACCCCCTAAACCCTAAACCCCCTAAACCCTAAACCCCCTAAACCCTAAACCCGAAACCCTAAACCCTAAACCCTAAGCGAGGCCATGAACCATCAGTACACTGCGGGTGGGGGCCGAGACATGAAGTTGGGGGACGATTGGCAGGCGCCGGGCTCTGGGTTCTGTGTATAGGGTTCTTAAGGGAGGAAGGTTTAGGGTTTAGGGTTTAGGGTTTAGGGTTTAGGGGTGCAAGGGGTGCATGGGGTGCATGGGGGGTAGGTACCTAGGGAACCGCAGGGAAGCTTAGGGGGTCTTACGAAGTGGTGGGGAGTATTAGGGAATGTTGCGTTACATACCCCCCTGAGCCCCCCCCCCCCCCCCCCCGAACCCTCTAAGTTCTCTTGAAAGCTACTTGGAAGCCTTTTCAACACAGTAAGTAGGGGTTAATGTTGGACTCGCTTTAGTACGTAGGGGCCCCCCCCCCCCCCCAAACAATTTTGGGGTTTTCGGGGATCCTGAATAGTGTGGGCTGGGGTTGTCGTCGTCGTAGTAGTACCAGTAGTACTAGTAGTAGTACTAGTAGTAGTACTAGTAGTACTAGTAGTACTCGTAGTAGTAGTAGTACTGTAGCAGTAGGAGTGGGAGCAGTAGGAGTAGTAGGAGTAGTAGCAGTAGCAGTGCCTGTTTTGCCCTAACCGGCAACCCCGGCCGGCAAACATCGCATTATTGAGGCCCACCCTATCAATGGGGGGGTCCCCTATAAGATTTCCGGAACATCGCATAATAGTGCCCCCTCTCACTAAAGCCAGTCCAACATTAGAAAGGTGGGTTATGGGGATAACCATGGGGTTTCTAGGGGATAGTAAGTAGACGTACTCAGTCAAAACAGCTTCCAGGTACACCCTAAACCATACCCTAAAAATATTAAACCCTACAAACCCTACCCTACACATTCTAAGCCCTATAGACCCCAAACCCTAGCAACCCTATAAACCCTAGAACCTACAAAGCCTATAAGCCCAATGGAGCCTACAAACCCTATCAACGGTCAGAACCCAATATATGCTTAAGGGGGCATGCCAGGGTTTTGGGCTAAATGTCGGAGGTCCGGTTTGCGGTTTAAATATTGGGGGGTCCTTCCTTTCCTTTATACGTATTCTTCTGTGCCGATGCCCTGATTTTTTCGAGACTCCCACAGCTGAGGCCCCCTTTATTCTGGAGGAGTAGAGCCACATAGGCTTTTCTCCAGGGGTCTACGGCGTTTCTGAACCAATTAGACCCGTTCTCCGCTCCAGTTGTCGTAGACAGCCCTAAACCCTAAACCCTAAACAGCTGGGTAAATCTGTGGATTTGTAGGTTGCTCTGGTCTGGGATCCAGCAACTTTTGTGTTTGCGCACTATGGGCTTATACATCTTGGGGACCATGTGAAGACCGAAACTTGGTTAGGGTTTAAGGTTTAGGGTTTAGGGTTTAGGGTTTAGGGTTTAGGGTTTGGGGTTTGGGGTTTGGGGGGTTTAGGGTTTAGGGTTTAGGGTTTAGGGTTTAGGGTTTAGGGTTTAGGGTTTAGGGTTTAGGGTTTAGGGTTTAGGGTTTAGGGTTTAGGGTTTAGGGTTTAGGGTTTAGGGTTCCCAAGGGGTGCTTCCTAGTTCCTGCTTCCCTTTCTCTAACACGGAAAGTCCTACGCTCAAAGGGCATCCCCCCAAGATAGGGGACCCCCCAAAATAGCATACGCCTGAACCCTGAGCCCTGAACCTCTCTACCATATAACCCTAAATGTTAAACACCAGTTGGAGAACTTGATCAATTTCTTTTTTTTCACCCCCCGTTGTTCAGCACCAATTGGAGAATTTGATCCATTTCGACCCCTCCGACCCCTTCGACCCCCTCCCATTGTTCAGCACCAATTGGAGAATTTGATCCATTTCGACCCCTCCGACCCCTTTACCCATTGTTCAGCACCAATTGGAGAATTTGATCCATTTCGACCCCTCCGACCCCTTTGTTTCAAGGCCTCACAGCCTGTTTAGGGTTTCAGGGTCTCAAGGCCTGGTGGTTAGGGTTTCAAGGCCTCACGGCCTGGTGTTTAGGGTTTCAGGGCCTCAAGGCCTGGTGTTTAGGGCTTCAAGGCCTCACGGCCTGGTGTTTAGGGTTTCAGGGCCTCAAGGCTTGGCGTTTAGGGTGTTTAGGGCTTCAGGGCCTCTCGTTTAGGGTTTCAAGGCCTCACTGGTGTTTAGGGTTTCAGGGCCTCAAGGCTGGTGTTTAGGGTTTCGAGGCAGTAGGGTTTGAGGCTCAAGGCTGGTGTTTAGGGTTTCAGGGCCTCAAGACCTGGCGTTTAGGGTTTCAACGCCTTTAAGGCCTTTAGGGTTGCAAGGCCTCACGGCCTGGTGTTTAGGGTTTCAGGGCCTCAAGGCCTGGTGGTTAGGGTTTCAAGGCCTCAAGGAATACCAGGGTTTCAGGGGGACCTCAAGGCCTGGTGTTAGGGTTTCAAGGCCTCACGGCTGGTGTTTAGGGTTTCAGGGCCTCAAGGCCTGGTGTTTATGGTGTTTAGGGTTTCAGGGCCTCAAGGCCTGGCGTTTAGGGTTTCAAGGCCTCACGGCCTGGTGTTTAGGGTTTCAGGGCCTCAAGGCCTGGTGTTTAGGATTTCAAGGCCTCACGGCCTGGTGTTTAGGGTTTCAAGGCCTCAAGGCCTGGCGTGCTTGGTACTACGGCGTCAAGGCCTGGTGTTTGGATTTCAAGGCTTGACGGCCTGGTGTTTAGGGTTTCAGGGCCTCAAGGCCAAGTGTTTAGGGTTTTAGGGCCTCAAGGCCTGGTGTTTAGGGTTTCCAGGCTCAAGGCCTGGCGTGGCTTGTGTTAAGTGGTTAGTACTACGGCGTGATTGTTTTGTGTATTGGTGCATCCGAAGAGAACATAATGAACCTTCTATTTTCTTAATGTTATGGGATTCTTTGGGCGGGTGGGTTTTTTTCTGCTGCCTAGACACACTGCTGGCCTAGTCAATGCTCGAACTTGAGATGCTGAACCCTAAACCCTAAACCCTAAACCCTAAACCCTAAACCCTAAACCCTAAACCCTAAACCCTAAACCTTAATTTTGGGACAAGGGTTTGGATCAACCTCTGAACTCCTTTAGGGTTCATGGTGGGGTTTTAGGGTTTGGGGTTCAGGGTTTAGGGTCTATAGGGTTGAGGGTTTAGGGTTTAGGGTTTAGGGCTAAACCCACCCAAACCTTGCTGGCACCAGCGGATCATGCTGCGCTGTGCTTGGGGTCACTGCGCTGTGCAGGGCGACCAGACCGCCAGCGGCCGGGGTCCCAGGTTAGGGTTTAGGGCTTAGGGCGTAGGGTTTAGGGTTTAGGGTTTAGGGTTTAGGGTTTCGGCGTTCGGGGTTCGGGGCTTATGGTTTGAGGTTTAGGGCTTCCAAACCTTGAGCCCGAACCTCCAGACCCTGAACCCCTTGGTTCCTAGGGCCCCTGGCTTCGGGTTTAGGGTTTAGGGTTTAGGGTTTAGGGTTTAGGGTTTAGGGTTTAGTTGGGGTTTAGGGCTTAGGGCTTAGGGTTTAGGGTTTAGGCGCTGAGCGTGAGCCTTTGGGGGGAGGAAGCTTGTTCCCCTAATCATGCTATAAAATCCTAAACCCCAAGCCTTAAGCCCGTGACTCCTTAAAACCCTGAGCTCCTTAACTCCTTAAGAATACCCTAAACCCTTAACCCTTAAACCTGAACCAAAGGCGGGGTTGGAGTCTCTGTGGCCTTTCGCAAGGGCTTTGGCGCCTTTGGGATTTAGGGCTCTAGGGTTTCAGGGCTTCGGATTTAGGGCTTAGGGTTTACTGTTTACCTGGGAATCCTTCCGGACTCAAGTCTCTGTCTTTTATGTTTTTTTCCTTAGGGTTTAGGGTATAGGGGTTTTAGACGGGCAAAGTGTTGTTTGGCATTGAAACCGGGTTTTCAGGCCTGCCCAAGTGAAACTTGGTCCAAGTTCGCCGATACGAGAACTCTCATGTCGTTCGTAGAGCATGTCTTGTCCAACGAGGCAGTCTCCTGTCACAGAGATCACCCAAGAAGCTTTGGCTGGCGAGCGTCGTGCAGCCGCTAGCAAAGTGGACACTGGACAACGGACGCTTTCCATACCCAATGATGCCAAAGGCACACTATCTCCACCAAAATTGCCTTTCCAAATGGACGAAGGCGGGTGGGAACTCAGCTGCTTATGCCATGGACTTTGCACCGCTATCTACTGGCCCAAGTCGCTTCCCGCGAATATAGTAAGCCCCACCCTAATTTGAAGTATTTTTCCCGGTCCCTCCCGGCATCCATGCTTAATTCGGGTTTAGGGATTATGGCTAAACCCTAACTGAAGCCAGAACCCCTAACTACCCTAAACCCTCGAACCCGAACCCTACACCCTAAGACCCCTAAACCCCCAAAACCTGAATTCCCAGACCCTAAGCCCAACGAAACCCCAACTCCTAAACCCTAAACCCCAAAACCCTATACCCCTAAAACCCTAAACCCCTATACCCCTAAAACCCTAAAACCCTAAAACCCTACGCCCTGGGCCCAGGCGCCAAGAACGACACCGCTCCGCAAATCGCCCCTTTCTACTGGGGCATCAAGGACCCCAAAGCTTAGGGCTTAGGAATTGAGTTTAAAGGGGTTTAGGGTTTAGGGTTTAGGGTTTAGGGTTTAGGGTTTAGGGTTTAGGGTTTAGGGTTTAGGGTTTAGGGTTTAGGGTTTAGCCTGAAGCAGAGGAGGCCAGCAAGCAAAACTCGAGTGGGTTCAGGGTTTGGGGTCTTGGGCTTGGGTCTTGGGGCTTCGGGTTTGGGGTTTGGGGATGTTTCTTACTGGCTCAAAACCCAACTTTTCAACTTTTGGGCTTCTTATAATGTAGTTTATTCTGAAAGTTTCAACTTTTATTTCCTTGGGTTTTGGGCCAGTAAGGTTTGGGGTTTTTTGGGCTTAGTGTATTTAAGCTCTGCGTGCACCAAGCAGCAGTTCTCTGTCTTCGACGCCGCGGTACACAAAGCATATCAGCGCAGTAGGCGTCCCCAATAGCCCGAAAAAGCAAATCACGCACACGGATATGGACACCCACACCCCAATAGACAGAAGGGCATAGGGTTTATACGGTTTAGGGTTTAGGCTTGGCTGACCCCTCCCCTAACAAGCGACAGTTTTCCGATGCAGTGGAAAGACCAGAAGCATGCAGCCAACGCCCCAACAAGCAAAACTGCAGGAGACACCCCGCGCAGCCAAACATGTCGATGTTGTAGGGTTTAGGGTTTAGGGTTAGGGTTTAGGGTTTGGGGTTTGGGGTTTAGGGTTTAGGGTTTAGGGTTTAGGATGTGGACTAGTACGTCCCAGAATCAAGAACACTTATTTAATGGTAGGCAGCATAGCGATATGCTTACACCCCAGTGTTTTGGGTCTGCTCGTTGTCGTGGGGTGACATTATGTCTTAGGGGACCCCCGAACAGGCAAACGTATGACTATTTGTTTGTTAAGCCCGCTGCGCTTGCAAAGAACATGTGCGTGTGCGAAATCGCTATACCGGTAACCCTTGTGAAGTTTTTCCAAATCAGTACTACGCACTTCCTCGGCTGCTGCTGCTGCTGCTGCTGCTGCTGCTGCTGCTGCTGGTGCTGCTGCTGCTGCTGCTGCTGACCCTAAACCCTAAACCCTAAACCCTAAACCCTAAACCCTAAACCCTAAACCCTAAACCCTAAACCCTAAACCCTAAACCCTAAACCCTAAACCCTAAACCCTAAGTTTGTTTGGCTCATGTTTGTTGTTTCGGTCTCTTCTTGTTTGTGTGCTACTGAGGTCCTTGCGATAAGTTCAAGCAGCGGCCGCTTACACGACATGTCGGAGATGGATTCGGGTTTATGTGGTTTTAACCCAAAACCCCCAACCCTAAACCCTGCACCATAGACCCCGAAGGCCAAACCCTAAACCCCAAACCCTAAACCCTAAGGCCCAAACACCAAACCCCAGACCCTAAACCCCAAACCCTAAACCCCAAGCCCTAGAGCCACAACCCCAAGCCCCAAACCCGTAAACCCTCAACCCTAAAATCCCCCAACCCTAAACCCCAAACCCTAAACCCCAAACCCTAAACCCTAAACCCCAAACCCTAAACAAAACCCTAAACGGCCCGCAGGACGTGCAGTTTGAGAGGCGGCCGGGCTGGACCAAAGCTATGCTGCGGCGCGTGGCGAAGAGCTTCAAGGCCCCCAAAACCCGAAAACCCTAAGGCCCCCCAAAACCCGGTTTAGGGTTTAGGGTTTGGGGGTTTGGGGTTTAGGGTTTGGGGTTTAGGGTTTGGGGTTTAGGGTTTCGGGTTTAGGGTTTAGGGTTTAATGTTGAACCCTGTTTAGTGTAGGCCCCCCCCCCCCCGAACAGTCGAGGCTGGATTTTGCTCTGTTTAGGCGGTTCGGGGGGTTTATATGGTCTAAATTGGGAGGAGTTTAGATGAGTTTAGAAGGGGCAGGGATGCCCGACAATCTTTTTTGAAGGCGCCCCACGTGGATTTTTCTTACGGCGCCCGGACGATTTGACTTTTAACAGGGACTCCCAAACAGTCAGGATGCACAGCCAAATTGACTTTATAGAGGAGGCCCCTGCTTAACAGGGTCCAACATTAGGGTTTAGGGGTTGGGGACTCCCAAACCCTAAACCCTAAAACCCGAAAACCCCAAAAGATTGGCAAGTCGAACCCCGGACCCTAAACCCTAAACCCTAGGTCCCCAAGTTCATGCACCCGAAGCACACTGCGCGGGACTTCGGCTCCACACCCGAGTTCTGGCGGCTCGGATGTGTTTGAGGGGTTTAGGGTTTAGGGTTTAGGGTTTAGGGTTTAGGGTTTAGGGTTTAGGGTTTAGGGTTTAGGGTTTAGGGTTTATAGGCGATTAGGAGGGTTTATAGGGTTTAGGGTTTATAGGCTATAGGGTTTAGGGTTTAGGGCTTATAGGGCTTAGCGTTTATAGGCTATAGGGTTTAGGGTTTAGGGTTAAGGGTAGGTCAAGATAAGATGTATAGGTTAATTACTCTTGACCTCGCCCGAAGCTCCCCCTTGCCTGAGGGACTATGCGCCCCTTACGGGACTTAGGGTTTAGGGGTTTAGGGGGTTAGGGCTTAGGATATCTTCAGAGGAGCGATGTGGAGGCGCAATTATGTTTGAGGGTTTAGGGTTTAGGGTTTAGGGTTTAGGGTTAGCTGTAGGCGGCTGTAGCCAGCCTCACCACTTCTTGCCGAATTAGGCAGGTCACGCGAATCCCTGGCCAGGAGTCTGGGGTGCCCACTTTGCTTGAAAGTTTAGGGTTTAGGGTTTAGGGTTTAGGGTTTAGGGTTTAGGGTGGCGAATCCTACCTGCCCTCCAGAAAGAAGCTATTGGAATGACGGCAAGCTCTTTATGCTACTTTCCGCAGCTGCCATCAGCCTGTACACTTTGCTGAGTGGCCCGGATGGCGACGATTGACCCTAAACCCCATAATCCCTAAACCCTAAACCCTAAACTCTAAGCCCTAAACCCTAAACCCTAAACCCTAAACCCTAAACCCTAAACCCTAAACCCTAAACCCCAAACCCTAAACCCTAAACCCTAAACCCTAAACCCTAAACCCTAAACCCTAAACCCTAAACCCTAAACCCACCCTCCCCTGCCCACCCTACCCCCACCCCCCTGCCCACCACAGCATACGAGGGTTCTAGACGCGCACTCCACGGGCCTTTTTGGCGATTTCCAGGCGCGGGGTATAGGGTTTAACGCATAGGGTTTAGGGTCTAGAAGGGGTTCGGTGTCGGGGGCCAGGCCCAAAGCGAACCCGACAAGCTTGATAACTCCGATGCCCCTGCGAACTCCCCCGATTTCGCCCACCTCGTTTTTCCGAAATAGGCAAGCGAAACCTCAAGCCCAAGCTAAACCCTAACTAACTTAGCCCTGAACCCCAACCTGCCCAAATTCGCGCTGCCAACACCCCCTAGCCCCCTAGCCCCCTAGCCCCCTAAACCCTAAACCCTAAACCCTAAACCCTGAACCCTGAACCCTAAACCCTAAACCCTAAACCCTAAGAGCAATTTGTCTCCCCACCAAAACCCACGTCGAGGTTCGGAACTGGCCAGGCGGGAGCGAAGGCGCACATGGCACCTTGCTGGCTCTATCCCCCCTGGTGGGGGGTTTAGGGTTTAGGGTTTAGGGTTTAGGGTTTAGGGTTTAGGGTTTAGGGTGGGGCCGACTTCTGAATCCTTAAGCCAGCTGGGGGCCGATCCCATGAGGCTTCCGGGTTCAGGATTTTGGGTTTTGGGGATGTTTAGGGTTTAGGGTTTAGGGTTTAGGGCTTAGGGTTTAGGGGATCTTGTTTCGATTCCCTACTGCCGAGTGACTCTTAGGACGCTGGGTGTAAGCAGTGTTGAAGAGGCTTGAAGGAAACATAAAAGGCCTTCCTATATCAAGGCCTCTACATCCTAAGCCCCAAACCCCCCACCCAAAAACCTACTTCCTAAGCCCTCCGCCGAGGACTCCCATGTACAGGCAACTGTTTCTGTGCAGATTTCTGGGAGGAAGCGGTGGCGCCTCGGTTGCTTCTCTGTTTTGGGTTTCGTGGTTCAGGGCGGGGGGGGGGAGGGGGGTGTAGGCTTTAGGGCTTGGGAAGGCCTTTAGGGGCTTGGGATTCAGGGCTTGGGAAACCCAAAGGCTTCAACACCAAACCTAGAAGCCTGAACCCCAAGCGCTCTATATTCATGCACCGACCTGCCAGCCCGGTGCTGTGGCCACAAAAGTTGCTCCAATATCTGGGCCTCATAGGCTTTCTGAAGCTGTACATGTGCATGTCGTTAAACTTAGCAGGGGTTAGGGCATGATCGAACACTCCAGGCACGTCGCTTCTAGTGTGGCCTAAATTCGGAGTAGCTGATTGTATATCGAAGTCATGCATAGTTGCATGTTTCTGGGTGGCGAAGAAATTCCAATCCCACGCCGCAGTGAATTCTGGGGAGAGGATATCCCTAAACCCTAAACCCTAAACACCAAAACCCCAAGCCCTAAACCCTAAACCCCAAACCCGCGAGATCAGCCCTTGGACCGTCGGTGGGTGGATTTGGGCTTGGCATGGAGGGGTCTTGCTTCGCATGAGTTGCTTATAGGGTTTTGGGTTTGGGTTTAGGGTTTAGGGTTTAGGGTTTAGGGTTTAGGGTTTAGGGTTTAGGGTTTAGGGTTTAGGGTTTAGGGTTTAGGCTCTGAAGGTATCTAAGGGCCTAATTGGGAGTATGTTAAGAGAACCCCTACTAGGGGACGTACGTCCTTCTGATCCCAAAGTTTGACCCTATGAGTACCATCGCTCAGTGTCCCCCGACCTCAGTCCACGCTTCAAAGAGGGGCTGTCAGTATCTGGAAGCTGTGTTGATTTTCGTACAAGTGTACTTAGTATCCCCTATAGAAACTATATTTAATGGCTACCGCCAGTGCCGCCGACCCCTCAACCTGATGCTCCGCGCAAACCGGACAAGAACAAGGATGGCAGGCCATCTTTCGACGAATTCGCAGAGGCAGGAGGAGAGTGAGCGGTCTACGGTTTAGGGTTTAGGGTTTCGGGTTTAGGGCCTAGGGTTTAGGGCTTAGGGTTTAGGGCTTAGGGTTGAGCGTTCAGGGTTTCAAGGGCATTAGGAGGGCTTAGTCGGTAGTGTGCTGAGAGGCCATCCGCGACCGGGGCAGGGGGGGGGGGGTATATGCACTTATATATACCGGGTCCGGTATATGCTGGACCGTGGTGTGCCTACACTTCCGGGTTCGATGAAAGCTCCGGACCGTGGTTTATACATAATTATACAGAACACTGATATACCGGGTCCGGTGCATGCTGGACCGTGGTGTGCATACACTTCCGGGTTCGGTGAAAGCTCCGGACCGTGGCTGGCTTAAGCATATAGACATATACATAACACTTATATACCGGGTCCAGTAGATGCTGGACCGTGGTGTGCATACACTTCCGGGTCTTGTCCACTGGAGCCCTTTAAAGTCAGTCTTTAAAGTCAGTCATCTAGGGGGGGGGGGGGGGGGGGGGGGGGGGGGGGGGGGGGAAGTTCAGTCTTTAAAGTCAGTCATGGGTGGGAGCGCAGCAGGTTAAGTCAGGTGGGGGGGGTGGGGTGGCGGGGTGGGGGGGGGGGGTGCGGGGGCGGGTGGCAGGGAGGGGGGGGGGTGGGGGGGGGGTGGGGGGGGGGTGGGGGGGGGGTGGGGGGGGGGTGGGGGGGGTGGGAGGGGAAGGGGGTGGAGTCAGTCTTTAAAGTCAGTCATCTAAGGGGGGGGGGGGGTGCGGGGGCGGGTAGCGGGGTGGGGGGGGGGGGCGGGGACCCGCTCCGCTCCCCCACCCCCTTCCCTCCCCCCCCCCCCCCCCCCTTCTCCCCACCCCACCCCCCCCCCACCCCCGTACCGTATCGGTCCAGTGCATGCCGCCTTTGCTTGCCCGCTCCCCCCCCCCACCCTCCCATGACCATGACTGAAGGGCCCAGTAGCAAGCGCCGGGTGGGGGTGGCGGGGGGGGGGGGGGGGGGGGTGGGGGGTCGGGGGGGGGGTGGGGGGGTGGGTGGGAGGGGGGGGGGGAGGGAAGGGGGGGGAGCGGAGCGGAGCAAGCGGAGGGGGCAATGCACTTTAGTCTTTAAAGTCAGTCATCTAGGGGGGGGTGGGGGTGGGGGGGGGGGGTGCGGGGGTGGCGGGGTGGGGGGGGGTGGAGAAGGGGGGTCGGAGCGGGGGGAGCAAGCGGATGGGTGGGGGGGGTGCGCGCCGACGCCATGGAGTCTTCACTAGCGCCTCCCCCGCTCAAAGCTGGGGTCGGCGGATATATATAAAAAAAAATATAATCCCCATAGCCCACCTGAATTGCCCTACCTACTAAGTCAAAAAGGGTTTCCCAGTGGAACACTGTGAGCCGCCCGGACGATTCCTAGGCGGCTGATGCCTCTGCGACAGCGCGCCGCGCCCTTTCTCGCGATGCGGCGAGGAAGCAAATCGGCTAAGGGTTCGTAGGATTCATAGTGCTGCTGTTTAGGGTTGAGGGCTTACGGTTTTTCATAGCGTTTAGGGTTTTCAGGGTTTGGGGTTGTAGTTTTTTTTTTTGCGTACTGGGCTTCGCGCCGCTGGGGCTTGGAGTCTCCGCATATGGGGGGTGGTCGCCAATTTCCAGACGCAGCGACACGCAGACCGCGCTGCCTCGTAATCACCAGGACATGCGTTTGTCCGGGCCCGGGTTCAACTAGCTCATCCAGGGATGGAAGGTCCAAGAAGTTTGCACAGTGTGGCAAGTACTGACGTAACCTCGTAGCACCCTAAACCCTAAACCCTAAAGCCTAAACCCTAAATCCTAAAACGCTTAACCCTAAACCTAGCTGGTCACACGGCACGGCAGACCCCTTTGCTTCTGTGCGCCGGAGACATTGCTCAGAGCTTATAGGGCTTGTCGGTTTTTTGGGGTTCTTTAGGGGTGCAGGTTGGGATGTGCCCCCTCTGCTAGGGTTTAGGGTTTAGGGTTTAGGGTTTAGGGTTTAGGGTTTAGGGTTTAGGGTTTAGGGTTTAGGGTGCTACGAGGTTACGTCAGGACTGTTAGCATAAGGGGGATCATCCCAAGGTGCAGGGCTTTAACTGCTCGGGAGTTCGGTGTGAGGGCTGAGGGTCAGGGGCCCGGTTCTTGCCCAAGCCCCCTAGACCCTAAATTCTGGGTTTAGGGTTTAGGGTTTAGGGTTTAGGGTGTAGGGTGTAGGGTTTAGGCTCCTAGTCCCTAAACCCTAAACCCTACAAACCGCCTTTAAAGGACCCCGCAGCTTGGATAAGACAAAAGCCACAAGGTTAGCGACTCTCGAGGGATCCCATCCCTTCACCCCTGAGGTTTCTTCGGAACACAAAGCCTACTTTTCTAGGTTCTTCCTTTAAAGCGCCTTTGATAGGATTCCTTTAAGGCACCTTTTTATAGGATTCCTTTAAGGCACCTTATCAGAATCCTTTAAAGCACCTAGAATGGGATTCCTTTAAGGCACCTTATCGGATTCCTTTAAGGCACCTATAATAGGATTCCTTTAAGGCACCTTATAGGATTCCTTTAAGGCACCGTATAGGATTCCGTTAAGGCACCTTATCGGACTCCCTTAAGGCACCTTATAGGATTCTCAGGCAACCTACCAAAAAGAGTAGGCGTTTAGGTTCTTAAGGATTCGGCTTAGTATTTAGAGTCAAGCCAGAAAGCTTTGAACGCCAGAAGCTCCGAGCCCTTGGAGCCTTTAGGGTTTAGGGTTTAAGGTTTAGGGTTTAGGGTTTAGGGTTTAGGGCTACCCACAAGAGCCGAGGATCTATTCAGATGGCCAGCCCTACGAGAACGACGAAGGCTTTTCGGTGAGAGTGTCAGGTTTGTAGGTTTTGCGTTTAGGTTTCTACTATTTGCTTAAGAACCCCCAAACAAACGGTTTAGGGTGTAGGGTTTGGGGTCCAGGGTTTAGGGGGTTTAGGGTAAACAATAACCTCTTTATTACCCTTATAAGGAACAGGATTGTTTCGTTTTTTTTTTTTTTTTTGGGGGGGGGGGTTCTTAAGCAAATCGTAGGTTTAGGGTTTGTGGAGGGCTGAGGGTCTGGGGGCCTGCCCTGCTCGGGTGACTACTTGTTTAGGGTTTAGGGTTTAGGGTTTAGGGATAGCAGACGAACAGTTAGTAGTCGTACCACACAGTACAATGCCATACAGTATCATGACCATGGCCATAACCACGGCCATTGCCGTACAACACCATCCGATATTAGGGGGCTTAAGGTTTATGGGGTTTAGGGTCTTGGGGGCTTAGGGCTTGCGGGTTCATAGGATTGAGAGGGCTTCGAGGGATGTTAGGGCTTTTAGGGTTTATAGGGCTTAGGGTTTAGAAATTAAGGTATAGGGCTTTGCAGGCCAGGGTGTTGCGTGGCTCAGGAGTTTCAAGGTTTAAGGCCTACAAACCCCAAGCCCTACAAGCCTTATGTGTCCTGTAGACCCTAAACCTCAAACCCTCTCAACCCTAAACCCCAAACCCCAAGCCCTAAACCCTAAACCCTAAACAACCCTAAACCCTAAACCCCAACTCTGGACCCCTACCCTTTCCCGCCTGGAGGCTGGAAGCCTCTCTTCGAGATCACCCTGGAACCGGGTGAGGGCACCCTTACAGCATCATACTTAGGGTTTAGGGTTTAGGGTTAAGGGTTTAGGGTTTAGGGTTAAGGGTTAGGGTTTAGGATTTAGGGTTTAGGGTTTAGGGTTTAGGGTTCAGGGTTTAGGGTTTAGGTGTAGGGTTTAGGGTGTAGTCTTCGGGCTTGGGTCAATTAGGGCTTAGGGTGCTGCCTAAACAAAACACAAGAGGACCGTCTGGGATACAGGGGCTTGTATTGTAGGGTGGGAGTTTCGGAGATTTTGATGGAGTTTCGATGAGAAGTTTCGGCAAGGGTTTGTGTTCGAAATGTTCGGAGACCGGACGTTTCAAATTGTTCGGGACGAAATATCGACCTTTCTCATGGAGTTTTTCGGCAAAGTTTCGGATATAAAAGATAAAGTTTCGGGTAATTTTATTTTGCAGAAATTGGCCTAATCCTTAGTAAATCTGTCTTGTCACGTCATTTTAGAAAAAAGTTTTTTTCAAGTTGGACCAACAAAAACAACTTTTCATCCGAAACTTTCGGAGATGTTTCGATGTTTCTCGATGTGTTTCGTTGGAAAGTTTCGGAGAATGTTTCGTTGGAAAGTTTCGGAGAATCTTTCGATGTTTCTCGATGTGTTTCGGGAAAGAGTTTCGGACGTTTTACGTTGTTTTTCTCGATGGATTCTCGGACATTATGCAGAGAGTTTCGGGTAAAATATTTTCCAGAAAAAAACAACAATCCTTAGTGATTTTAGGTTGTCACGTGATTTTAAGAAAAAGTTTTTTTTGTCGGTCCACCTTCGGTGGACCTACAAAAACAACGTTTTTCTTAAAAGTTTCGGAGATGGATCGCGATCCATTTCGAAAGTTTCGGGTTGGATTTGAAATTGAAATTGAAGATAAATCTTCAATTTCAAATCCAACCCTCATGGTGCATCCATGATGTACCATGCATTCCGGTTTCGGAAATTGAACTCCCGAAATAGAAATTGAAGAAATTGAACTCTTCCAGGTCAAATGACTAAGATAAGCTTAAATTAAGCTTACAAAAGCTCCAAATCTACTTTGGCATTTTTGACCTAAATTGGCTCAAAAGACGCCAATTTCCGAAAATGGACGAAAAGCCAGCTGGCAAAAGCCTCGCGCACAGGATTCTCTTGGATTTCTCAACCCAAGAACTGTGCTACGCAGAGCATAATTAGGATCGAAGATCCTAATTCTGCTCTGCTAAGAGGAAAGCACTCTCGATACGTAGGACGATTTGAGAAGGATCCATGAATGGATCCTCCTCAAAGAGTCCTTTGGTTTTTCAACCAAAGAACTCGCCTACGCCGAGTATATGGATCTGCGAAGCAGATCCATCTACTCGGCTAAGAGAAAGCACTCTCAGAGCATTAAGGGAGGGGTCTTTCTTCGAAAGACCCCCTACTTAGGAAATTCTTTTCTCTGGTACGTAGTTAATGCTGGCCTACGGCCAGCAACTACTAGCTTCATACATGAGGTGGAGGTTGGTCCATGAATGGACCAACCGCCACCTCATGTAATGTGAGTGTTTAAGCTCACGAGATGCCTTAGTACCTGAGAAGAGGGGAGGTGAATTTTACAAGGAATTGGCCGAAGGCCAAATTCCTTGTAAAAGAGGAGGGGGTTTTACCCCCTCCTTTTTTTGTAAACTGGATTCTATAAGAAATCCTGCGTGTACACGTGTGTGTGTGCGCATGGATTTCTATAGAAATCGCCTACAAAATTCACGATGGCGTCATCTAAGCTAATTTGAGTCAAAAAAGGCGAAGTAGGTTTTGGAAAATCCTCCTTCTCTCTTTTTGCAAAAATCGGGCTTAAAATTGCCATTTTCCCTATAACTATGGTCAAAACGGGCTTTTCCAAGGCTCATTTTTGAAGCGACGACCACGTTACTACAGCCAAGTTGTGTGATTGGGATTGGGAATGGAAATGAAAATGAAAGTAAACTTTCATTTCCATTCCCAATCCCAGCCTGCCATCCAATCTGCCATATACAACAACAAAACTTGTTTTAGCAGTTAGCTCCTGCTGTTTTATTTACAGTTTTAACTTCTGGCTGCCTTATTTGAAGACCTGCAGCTCGGTAGAAGCACATGTAGCTGTGCTTGTTGCTGGGCATTTTATACAGTTTCCGAATTCTGGCTCTAGATCATTTTACTTCCTAAGAGCAGTTGAGAAGGGATCCCCTTTTTAAGGAGGAAGAGAGAAAAACACACACCATTGAAATGCATCTCCAGGATCGAGTAAAAAGGGGGTCCCCTCATAAAACCTCTTTCACTGAAAACAACACTAAATCCTTGGATTACCCTCTCGGGGTCCGTTTTACTTCAGGGATTTCGATACATTTCAAGTATCTCGCACCAAAATCAGCATGGTACGTAAGTTGAAGGTCCAAAATTATCTCACTCGTACTCAAGTTACTCGAGGAATTGCAGATTTTCTTCATGCGTTCTCTATGATTCTCTTTAGAAAAACAACATAATAACAAGCGTTTCCATATGGGAATGAAAGAAATTAGTATAAAGTGTGCTCATTCTTCCATTCCCACTTAGAGGTTCGGTCTGGGTCGTAGTGTCAGATCAGGTTCGCAATCGGTTTATATGAAAAATAAACACGCGCCAAATACACCAAGTAATGGCTCACCACATGAGGAAGGACTGGTTTCCTTTCGGTTGATTCTACCAGTGGGGCGTGGGGGGGGGGGGGGGGGGGGGGGGGTATGTTTACTCATAAATCCAGTGTATAGCCTTGCTATAAGCTGACTTAAGGGGCAACAAGAAATGTGGCAAAACTACAATTGGATTAATAAGTACGCTGAGCCTCCATGTAGGAACTTTGGAATTATGGCCTTATCCGCACACTGCCAGTGTCCCTTAGCAGGGGCCTCACGGCATCTCACATAGCCCAAACCCCTAAATCCCAAGCCTAAAGCGAGACCCTCAGGCGCCATAAGCCTGTATCAGGGTAGAGTTTACATTTCTGTTACTGCTGAGTGTACATAGGGTGCGTTCAAAATACTGTTAAGTGTACATGTTGTTAGGGGTTTTTGGTGCGGGTGCTAGCCATACAAGCCCTGTTTCACATGTAAGCCCTAATGATCCTATACCTTCTGAAACCCAAGCCTTAAACATTAAACCCTAGTGCAATGCCACTAAACAACCCCCAAACTCTATATACCCTAAGGCCCAAACCCAAAACCCTAAACCCTTAACCTACGATTCCTGTACTGTACACTTGGCTAAGTAGCTGATGATGGGCATGTGTGTACTTCTTTGGTATAAATGGACCGGAGTAAACCCGGATCAGACCCTAAGCCCTAAATCCTAAACCCTTATAAACCCTAAACCCTAAACCCTAAACCCTAAACCCTAAACCCTAAACCCTAAACCCTAAACCTCCTACACCCGACACTCTTCAGATCCAGGCCTGTTCTTCCCGCCGGGCATGGCGATGCCGGCACAGATTCTTCTCGCGGGTTTAGGGTTTAGGGTTTAGGGTTTAGGGTTCAGGCTTTAGGGTTTAGGGGTCGGGTGTGGGCGGCTTTGGGGGGGGGGGGGGGGGGGGGGCCTTGAAAGCAAGCCCTACACCTCCAAGACCCTAAGCCCCCATAAACCCCCACAGCCCTAAACCCTAGAAGCTTACAACCCTAAACCCTAAACCCTAACCCCTAAAACCCCTAAAACCCCTAAAAACCCTAAAAACCCTAAAGCCTTCAACCATGAAGCCCTCGAGCTTTAAACCCGAAAGCCCCTAAAACCCCAAACCCTAAACCCTAAACCCTAAAACCCTAAACCCTGGACCCCTTCAACCGTATAGCAGGGGCAAAGTAAAGCTTTTGGCAGACCTCCCCTTGTAGAGGGGTATTAGGGTTTAGGGATTTAGGGGTTCTAGGGTTTGTGGGTTTTTTGGGGGCTTTGGGGGTTGTGGGGCTTTTGGGGTTCAAGGGTCTAGGGATTCCGCGGTCTGTGGTGTTGGGGTTTGGGTTTTTTGGGGGGTCTTAAGGTTTATTTAGGATTTCAGGGTCCAGGGGTTTCATGGACTGTTAGGCTTTTGGAGTTTCATGGTCTAAAGGTCGGAGGGTTTAGGGATTAATCCTAAACCCTAAATCCTAAACCCTAAACCGGATTAGGTTTAATGTTTCTTTTTTCCTTCGGTTTTTGGGCTTAGTGCTTCAATGGAATCCCCCAAAATTCCCCCCAGATTCCCAGATGCCAGGTGCATGAGACCATGAACGTGGGAGATGTGTGCGCCTCCTCCGTTACCTTCCAGTTCAACTACCCGCGGCTTTATGGCACATTCGGCTGCTGGGGGGGGGGCGACCCGAAACCCCTGAAGCGTTGTAGGAGGGGTTTAGGGTTTAGGGTTAAGGTTTCAGGGTTTAGGGTTTAGGGTTTTGGGTTGTTCGCCCTTATACTAACAGTCCTTAGTCGAGAATAGAGTACCCCGTATTACACTCCCTACGAAGAACTGTTTGTACGAGGGGGAACATCCCAAGTTTACCCTAAACCCTAAACCCTAAACCCGGAACCCGGAACCCGGAACCCGGAACCCTGAACCCTGAACCCGGAACCCTAAGCCTGGGACATGAAAATTAGGGCATTAGAGGGTGGAAAATGGACCTACTGAGGGTCTTGGGGTTTGGTTTAGGGTTCAGGGTTCAGGGTTCAGGGTTCAGGGTTTAGGGTTTAGGGTTTAGGGTTTAGGGTTACTAGGGTTACTAGGGTTACTAGGGTTACTAGGGTTACTAGGGTTACTAGGGTTACTAGGGTTACTAGGGTTACTAGGGTTTTAGGGTCACTAGGGTTTAGCGTTTAGGGTCACTAGGGTTTAGGGTTTGGGGTTTCGGAGTTCAGGATTTATCGGGTTCTACCCAGAACCCCAACCCTTAGCCCCAAGCCTTTTCAGGTTCAGGCTCTAGTTGGTTGTGGCCCTTGAAGTCCCAATCCCAGGGTTTCAGGGTTTAGGGTTTAGGATTTAGGGCCGCTTTTCTTAAGGACTGCTGCTCCGAGCCGCACAGCAGCTTGTGGTCTTGTAGAACTAGACAAGGGGTTCAGGGCTTAGGGTTAAGTGTGCAGGGTTTAGGGTTTATGGGGTTTTGGGGTTGAGGGTTTAGGTTTCAGGTTTTTTTTTGAGTAGCTTTTGGGGTTCAGGGTTTCAGGTCTTAGGGTTTAGGGCGTAGGGTTCCGGGTTTAGGGGTAGGTAGCCTTACAATTATGGTCTCAACTGCCTCCTCAGTTTCCCGGGCCTAAGCCTCAGAGCCTTTACAAAGCACTCTAAACCCTACACCCTAAACCCGAAACCCAAATCCTAAACCCTAAACCCGAAACCCTAAGCCCTGAACCCTAAACCCTAACCCTAGACTAGACCCTAAACCCTAAACCCTAAACCCTAAACCCTAAACCTGAACCCTGAACCCTAAACCCTAAACCCTCAACCCAGACCCCTAAACCTAAACCAAACTCAACACTCCTCTAGGAGGGAACCGGGAACCCTTCTAAGCGGGGCAGGAGTCCGTCTTGAGGCTACTGGATCTCGGGTCAGTAGGGTTGAGGGTGTAGGGGTTAGGGTTTAGGGTTTCGGGTGTAGGGTTTGTTTCGGATCAAGTTTATAGGGTTTCCACGGGATGAAGTATATCGGGACGACCTGGGGATTTCTGGGGTTCAGTGATCTCAGGTGTATATTTGGAGACGACTTGGGTAGGTATAAGGTTGAGGTAAGAGGGTTTCAGGTTTAGGGTTTAGGGAGACTGACGAACATATGGAAAGTGCGTGTATTTTCAGGGCCATGAGGAAGGATTCTTCTAGAAACCTTGAGAATAAAGCCGTTTGGGGTTGAGGGTTTAGGGCTGAACCCTAAGCCGTGCGCCCTAAACCCTGAATGCGCAAGTTCCCGTTAGAGCACTTGACTCTGAGGTACGCCGCTCGCTTCTACAGGCACGACCTCACGGCAGAGTTGTGCCCTAACCTAGACACCGCAAGGGGGTTTAGGGTTTAGGGGGTTTAGGGGGTTTAGGGGGTTTAGGGGGTTTAGGGGGTTTAGGGGGTTTAGGGGGTTTAGGGGGATTTAGGGGGTTTAGGGGGTTTAGGGGGTTTAGGGGGTTTAGGGGGTTTAGGGGGTTTAGGGGGTTTAGGGGGTTTAGGGGGTTTAGGGGGTTTAGGGGTTTAGGGGGTTTAGGGGGTTTAGGGGGTTTAGGGGGTTTAGGGGGTTTAGGGGGTTTAGGGGGTTTAGGGGGTTTAGGGGGTTTAGGGGGTTTAGGGGGTTTAGGGGGTTTAGGGGGTTTAGGGGGTTTAGGGGGTTTAGGGGTTTAGGGGGTAAGGGGGTTGAAAAAAAATAGTTAGGTAAGTAGTTTAAAATAAAAAGAAGAAAGGATAGGGTAAAGTAGAAAAGATAAATACAGGAGAGAAAGAAGTGCAGAAAGAATAAGGTACCATAAGTAAGAATAAATTTAGTAATATATAGGGGGTTTAGGGGGTTTAGGGGGTTTAGGGGGTTTAGGGGGTTTAGGGGGTTTAGGGGGTTTAGGGGGTTTAGGGGGTTTAGGGGGTTTAGGGGGTTTAGGGGGTTTAGGGGGTTTTAGGGGTTTAGTTTAGGGGGTTTTTAGGGGGTTTAGGGGGTTTAAGGGGGTTTAGGGGGTTTAGGGGGTTTAGGGGGTTTAGGGTTTTAGGGGTTTAGGGGGTTTAGGGGGTTTAGGGGGTTTAGGGGGTTTAGGGGGTTTAGGGGGTTTAGGGGGTTTAGGGGGTTTAGGGGGTTTAGGGGGTTTACGGTTGAGGGTACAACCGAAGGTGTGCCAGTTTGAATCCCTGGGCCGTGCTCAGGGAGCCGAAAGACATTAGGCAGGACAGCTGCTTCCACACCGAAAACCTCTGCGCCAGCACCCTAAAACCCTAAACCCCATACTCCCTAAGCCCTAGACCCTAAACCCTAAACCCCACACCCTAAGCCCCAAACCCTAAAACCTTCATCCTAAATTTTAAACCGCAGTTCCGTTCAGGTTTTCGGGTTTGGACTTCAATGTGGACTCGAGTCCTCAAGCATTGGATGTAAACTAAGTCCCCCAATTCAGGGGGGGGGACCGGTGGGGGGCAGTGGATTCTCTTGGTAAGAGGTAAACCCTAAACCCTAAACCCTAAACCCTAAACCCTAAAGGCCCTAAACCCTAAACCCTAAACCCTAAACCCTAAACCCTAAACCCTAAACCCTAAACCCTAAACCCTAAACCCTAAACCCTAAACCCTAAACCCTAAACCCTAAACCCTAAACCCTAAACCCTAAACCCTACCTTATAGGGTCTTTATGGGAGGAGGGTTTATGGAGGGCAAGTAGCCTTGGAAACCCTGGGGGAGCTTAGGGAGCAAGCAGCGGGGAGTCTCAGGGAACCTTGGGTTACATGCCCCCCCCCGGTGAACCCCCCTACCCAATACGTGAGGTGTTGAGGAGGGGGCACTCTTCAACTCGAGTTTTCTCTCTTGCCTCGGCGATTTAAGGCTTTGGGTTTAGGGCTTTGGGCTTTGGGTTTCGTGTTTAGGCTTTCGGGTTTCGGGTTACCCTTCAGACTGATAGCACGATTAACCAACACCCCCGATTGAACCAAACTGGCTATTGGGCCCCCAGACTATACTTGACCAACAACCCTCAAGCATATCCCCCCTCCTCCCTAAACCTTATAAACCCTAAACTCGAAGCCCATGAGGCGATTCTTCCCACGCGTGCGGTATACGGCCGACATTGGCGAGAGTTGGGTCCTTCTATCCTGCACAGAGTGTACAGGGAGGGCCGGTTTGGGTTTCAGATTTTCCGGCTTTTTGGGTCTACTTGGGAGCTTTTGACTTACAGTGTCCCCTCGAAACCCTCCTAATCCCCACAACTGGCCCCGCCCTTACCAACCCTACTTACTAAGTCAAAAAGAAGGCTTCCAAGTACTTAATCTATTTCAGTAGACCCTTATTCCCATTTTTTATGGTTTAGGTTCCCTTATATGCCCCTGTTGAACCCAAAAGGGTACCCTATTTCTTCCTAGCCCTAAACCCGAAATCCTAAACCCTAAAGCCTAAACCATATTGTTCCTAGGTTTCTCTTGGGTCTAGTCATCTATTTCAGTATAGCCTTGTAGGCGTGTAGGACCACAGCGTTGGCTTGGGAGAGGTCCCTAAACCCTAAAAACCTAAAACCCTAAACCCTAAATACCCAAAACCCTAGCGTCATAACTTTCTAGATGCCCTTCATGGCGCACTCCCTAAGCTTATCAGGACAGGAAGGTACCATGTGAGGAACCCGACTGCCTAAAAGGGGCCTAATATTCTATTTGGGTCCAATCCCTCCCCCAAGGTTGACCCTAAACCTTAAGAAACTAAACCCTAAACCCTAAACAGCCGAAGCCCTACACGCAATTCATGTCTTGTAGTTCAGGGGTCTAGACTGTAGGGCTTGGGGTTTAGCCATCGTGGCAAGATTCAGGCTTTTGAGGGGTGCACCCAAAGTTACTAACGCGGGACGGGTTTAGGTTTCAGGGATTAGGGATTAGGGTTTAGATAGGGTTTGAGGGTTGAACGTGGAGGGTTGAGGGTTGAGGGCTTATGGTTTAGGGTTTAGGGTTTAGGGTTTAGTGTACTGGGTTACGATTCAGGCTTTTCAGGGGTGCACCCAAACGGGACAGCTCTGGGGGCCCCGAAGCCTTCAATCGGTTTAGGGCTTCATTGGGTTAAGGGTTAAGGGTTTCGGGTTTAGGGTTTGTAGGGATTGTCTGGGGTTTATATAAGGCCAGAAAGGGTTTGGATAGGGCTTGTATAGGGTTTGTATAGGGTTCACACAGGGTTTACATTATAGGCCTTATAGAGGGTTTCGGGTTTGGGGTTGAGTCTTCTTTGCGTTTGGCAAGTACATACATTGACATTGCGAAGAACTGTGACAGCCACGGCATACTTGCTCCATAGGCCTTCGAATGAAGCCCGCGTCCGTATGGGCGTGTTGGTAGACACCTGAGGACGCAGAGTAGGCCCTAATCCCTAACCCCTAAACCCTAAACCCTTTTTCAAAGGTGTAGGTTCCCATATAGGCCCCTGTTAAACCCAAACGAGCACCCTTGTTTATTCCCAGGCTGCGCTTGGGTCTAATATCTACATCTCAACATTTTCCATGTCTGGCACTAAAAACGCATAGTTATATATAATCATATACATATATATATATATATATTTTTTTTTACACATACATAATATATATATATATATATATATATATACATATGGCCACATTCCGACAGGGCAAACAGAAGGCAGTCTCTACAGCGTAGCAACCTTGTGCAGATGGCCACGCCCATTTCGATTGAGGTGGGCCTGCTCAGTGGCAAGTCAGTTTCGCTGGAGGCAGGCTGGGATGAGTCTGTAGGATCCGTGCAGAGTAGAGCACGGAGGATGCTGGCAGTTGGCAAAGGCAGACTCGTGGATTCCTCCGGAGCCATCCTGGACGGAGCAGCCACGCTTGAGAAATGTGGGTTGCAGAGCGGTGATATGCTGACCTTGCAGATGAGCAGCATGTGTGTTCGCGGCAACACCTGCGCTTTTGCTGCCATTCTTGGGGATGGGTCTGTGGCAACCTGGGGCTATGCTCCCTATGGTGGCGACACCCGTGCTGTTCACGACAAGCTGAAGGACGTGAAGAAGATCCAAGCTACCCAAACAGCTTTTGCTGCCGTTCTGGGAGATGGCTCTGTCGTGACCTGGGGTGATGCTATGTGTGGCGCGGACAGCAGAGCTGTGCAGTGTCAGCTGCAGAACGTGCAAGACATCCAAGCTACCAGAGACGCTTTTGCTGCCATTGTGGGCGATGGGTCTGTCGTGTCGTGGGGCCATACTGGCCGTGGCGGTGGCAGCAGTGATGTACCTGATCAGGTCAAGGACGTGCAAAAGATCCAAGCAACCGATGCGGCTTTTGCCGCCATTCTGGGCGATGGGTCTGTTGTGACATGGGGCCATTCTTCTGGCGGCAGCGACAGCAATGCTGTGCAAGGTCTGCTGAAGAACGTGCATCAGATCCAAGCTACAAGCGCGGCTTTTGCTGCCATTCTGGGCGATGGGTCTGTTGTGACTTGGGGCGATTTTGATTATGGCGGCGACAGCAGCGCTGTGCAAGATCAGCTGAAGAACGTGCAGCTGATCCAATCAACATGCCACGCTTTCGCTGCCATTCTGGGCGATGGGTCTGTTGTGACCTGGGGAGATGTTAGCTATGGTGGCAGCAGCTTTGCTGTGCAAGGTCAGTTGCAGGACGTGCAGCAGATCCAAGCTACCCAAACAGCTTTTGCTGCCATTCGGGGCGATGGATCCGTTGTGACCTGGGGCCATGCTGACTATGGTGGCGACAGCCGTGCTGTTCACGACAAGCTGAAGGACGTGCAGAAGATCCAAGCTACCCAAAAAGCTTTTGCTGCCATTCTGGGAGATGGCTCTGTCGTGACCTGGGGACATGCTGGCTGTGGTGGCGACAGCAGTTCCGTTCACGACCAGCTGAAGGACGTGCAGCAGATCCAAGCTACAGACATGGCTTTTGCTGCCATTGTGGGAGATGGCTCCGTGGTGACCTGGGGTTATGCTAACTGTGGCGGCGACAGCAGTGCTGTGCAAGCTCAGTTGCCGGTCATCCACCAGATTCAAGCTACCAGCAGGGCTTTTGTCGCCATTGTGGGCGATGGGTCTGTTTTGACATGGGGCAGTGCGGACTTTGGTGGCGACAGCAGAGCTGCGCAACGCCAGCTGATGGAGCAGACCTAGCTCAACAGGCATTGCTGCCACCGTGGCTGTGACCTGTGGTGATGTTTCACAAGGTGACGACAGCAGTGCTCTGAAACATCAGCTGGAGAGTTCACAGGTGATTCTGGCATTTGCGGTAAGCAGCTCACGTGTCTTTCTCCGGCACGGATTCACATGATCGGATACGCGAGTTTGGGCTAAGCGCTAAGGCAAAACAGGCCGAAGCCGCGTGACATGAGCAAGTCCAGCTGCCAGCCGCAGAAACCCGAACAGGTTCATGCACGGACAGGGAGAGAGAGAGACAGAGAGAGAGAGAGAGAGAGAGACAGAGAGAGAGACGGAGAGAGCGAGAGAGAGAGTGAGTGAGAGAGACGCTGGGCAGAAGAAGAAGAAGAATAAGAAGAAGAAAAGAAAAGAAGAAGAAGAAGAAAAAGAAAAGAAGAAGAAGAAGAAGAAGAAGAAGAAGAAGAAGAAGAAGAAGAAGAGAGAGACACGGAGACTCTGCCCAAGCACTTCCGCAACCTATGGTCGGATCCAGGCACACCCTCAAATGATCCATCAGAAACTTTACCCGATAATTGATGTTTCCCTGCTGCGTCCTGTTTCCCCAGCCCCAAAGCAGCCAAACACAACCTTTACCAGCTCCGCAACTTTAGTAAGCCCTACAACCGTGAGCCCTAAACATTCAAACCACCCTATCACCCAACGCCCCAGGCCCTACATCCCACTAAACTCTCAACCAAACCACCATAAGCCCTAAATACCCTCAAGCTCTATAGTTATTCGTGTTTCAGCGTTTAGGGTTTGGGGTTTAGGGTTTGGGGTTTGGGGTTTAGGGTTTAGGGTTTGGGGTTTAGGTGTGCAGGAAGAGTGGCTCCCGGGCCGCTCGCCCTGCGCCGCTATGATGCCCCACCCCAACCCCCCTGCTTATTCTCATTTAGGGTTCAGGGTTCTACCCCCCAACCCCCCTAACAAGGGGGGCCCTTGTTCTCAGCCAGATAGGCAGCAAAAATGAAGGGGGGTAGCAGAGGCCTCGACCGGCCCCTGCTTGTGTGGGCCTGCCGGGAGGGTCTCCAAGAGGCCACCTCCAGAACCGACGGTCGTCGATTTGGGGAGATACTATATAGCTACGCTATGGTCGTGTATGACGTAGTTAAGTCCAGGCCGCCTGGGGATGCCAGGGAGGCTTTACCCTCCCTGCCCCGCAGATTCGTCCTCGGTTCAGGGCCTAGCCCTGCCCGGAAGGCTCGGGCGACATGCATATGGTCAGCGGCGCCCTCGCCAGTTTAGGGTCACACCCTCCCTCCATTGATCCCAATCCCAGGTACTCATCAAAGACTGGGCACGGCTTGGCCTTCCGGGAGACGAGAGGGGCAAAGGCGTTTTGGGGTTTAGGGTTTAGGGTTTAGGGTTTGGGGTGTCTGTTTGCATTTAGGGCTGTGGGGTCACGAGAGTTGAGGCCCACGGACAGGTGTTGTTTAAGGTTTAGGGTATAGGGTTTAGGGTTTAAGGTTTAGGGGGTCTAGGGAAAGACGCAGTCGTGGGTTTGGAGTCTTGCGGGTTTGGGGCACAGCACTTGGCAGTCGTAGGTTGTCATGGGGTAGCCTGAGCCCAAAACTCTCAACCCTAGGCCTAAACCCGGACCCAGCCCCTCAACCCCAAGCCCTGAACCATGAGCGTTCATTCTCCAGGACTCAGAGTAGGCCCTTAATTCCCTTTTTTAGGGTTTAGGTTCGATACAAGCCCCTTTAAACCGAAACAGGGCACCCTCTTTATTCCTAGCCCAAAACCCTAAACCCTAGACCCTAAACCCTAAACCCCAAATCCCGTTTATCCTAGCCTTCTCTTGGGTCTAGTCGGTGGCCCCCGAGAGATCCTGAGTTCCCTGCGTGTTTAGGGGCTTCGGGAGTTAGTTGTTTAGGGCTCGGGGGGCGATTTAGAGATATAGTGGTCCAGCGTTTAGCGTTTTAGGGGGTTTAGGGGCTTTAGGGGTTTTAGGGTTTAGGGGCTTGGAGCTTCAAAACGGGGGGGGGGGGGGGGGGTCGGCAGGGCTTGGGGGGGCTCTGGGGTTTTCAGAGTACGAGAGACCTAAGCCTTGAGCCCTACACCCTAAACCTTAAACCCGAAACCCGAAACCCTAAACCCCACACCCTGAACCCTAAACCCTAAACCCTAAACCCTAAACCCTAAACCCTACACCCTACACCCTAAACCCTAAACCCTAAACCCTAGCCCTAACCCTAATTGAACTCTAAACCCTGGGATCCCCATGCTTTTCAGAGGCGAGCCGTTCGACTCTGCCAGGCGGGAAAGCGAAGTTCTTTTGGTCTGGTCTACGATTTGCTTAAGAACACCCCCCCCCCCAAAAAAAAAAAAAAAATCAAGAAGAGATAATATCAAATAATCATCTCTACATGCCCCCTAAACCCTAAACCCGAAACCCTAAACCCTTATAAGGAATATTGTTTTTTTTTGGGCGGGGGAGGGGTTCTTAAGCAAATAGCAGTGGCCCGACTCCCTATGCGATCTTGTGGTGCATACAGCGGTATAGGGTTTAGTGGTTTAGGGTTTAGGGTTTCGGGCCCGACAGCTGCTGCGGAGGAGCCTTTTTAAAGGCCCAAGTAGACAAACACACAGAGGTACATGGACCCTGTGGTTGTGATTTCAGGGTGGGGGTCTATCCTGAAGACATGGATGTAAGCTATCCCATTCACTAACCCATCTAGACCATGAACTCTACTATGGCCTAACCCAGGCCCTCATTAGCCAAAGGCCCTAAGACCAAAACCCCGGATGGAAGCCTAAACTAGAAACGATCTCCACACGCTCAAACCCTAAACCCTGGCAGACCCTAAATCGCAAGCCCTAGAGCGTGGATGCTGGACAGGAAGCGCGCAGACTTGGCCCTTCGCCCGCAAAGCACCACCCAAAGGGGTTGGGTCCCAACACTCCGAAACCTGAACCCTAAACCCTAAACCCTAAACCCTACACCCCAAACTTGCAACCCCCAAACCTCAACCCCCACACTCTAAACTCCAAACCCTACTTGTGTTTATGCGCACAACACCCTAAGAGGAAGTCTTCCAAATTGCATGTCTTGGTAGGTCCTTGGGGCATTCTTTCTTTTTTCCTTATTATTGGGTTTCTAAGGGGAGGTTGGAGCTATAAACCCTAAACCCTAAACTCTAAACCCTAAAGCCCCCCCTCCTTAAGGCATGTGAGAGCTTTTCAATGTGTGAAAGGGCAGGTGCATCCTTTGGGGCTTAGGGTTTAGGGTTTAGGGTTTAGGGTTTAGGGCGGTTTTGGGGGTCAGGGTTGAGGATTGAGGGGTTTAGGCGCGGGAAAGATACTCCTCGGTAAGATTCTCTCAAGACAAGCACACCGAAGCTTCTCAGCCCTATATACTGCAGTATACGTGGGGCGTATGATAGAGGGCCTGAGGGCCCACAGAACTTGAACTAAGCCGTGCTAAGACTGAGGGTCTGTAGAGTGAGGGACCGTAAGGTGTGGGGCTCAATGCATGCTGAGGGGTTTCTGGTGGAGGGGCCGGGGGACCCAAAACCCTGAACCTGCTGTCGGTAGACCCAGGCACCCCATTTCGCGAAGTTGGACCAAGACTCCAATGGGCAGTTGACGCTTGGACTTGAAAAGAAGCGTAAAGCCGAGCCTACAACGGGTTTAGGGTTGGGGTTATGCGTTTAGGGTTTTAGTATTTAGGGTCGTCCTAAACCATCTAAACCCTAAAGCCCTCAACCCCAATGATGTCCCTAATATCCGAAATCCCACATTCCAGCAGCGGTCCATCTCCGAGTTGCACACCCCCCCCCCCCCCCCAACAACGAGTTTAGGGTTTTGAGTGTAGGGGGGAGTATATAGGGGGGGGGGGGGGGGGTCATGTGTTTCATCATGTTTCGTAAAGCAGACAATGCTTCATGAAGCAGTGCGTTTAAGGTTTGTTTAACCCTGAACCCTAAACCCTAAACCCTAAACCCTAAACCCGAAGCACTCTGTAGGTTCCCCAGGGAGCCTGGTGACTTCGGCTTAGCCCCTGAAGTCCGCAGCTTCGTGCAGGGTGGTAGGTGGTTAGCCGGTCCGGAGCTCCCCCTGAACCCTAAACCCCAAACCCTAAACCCCAAACCCTAAACCCCAAACCCTAAACCCTAAACCCTAAACCCCAAACCCTAAACCCCAAACCCTTACTAGTAGGGCCTTTTTTGGGGGGGTTACAGGGCCGTAGGCCAGACGGGATTCTTTGGAACCAGCGGAGCTGCCATGAGCTGCTACACTCCCTGAAACCCTAAACCCTAAAGACCTAAACCCTAAACCCTAAGCCCTACACCCTAAACCCTAAACCCTAAACCCTAAACTTTAAACCCTAAACCCTAAACCCTAAACCCTAAACCCTTTCCAGACAACTTCTCTCAAGCCCATGAAGAAATCAAGCTGAGCCCCCCAGGACGGAGTCCGAGTTGGGATTCCTAGACAGATCCTTGGCCGAAGTCTAGGATTTAGGGTTTGGGGTTTAGGGTTTAGGGTTTAGGGTTCAGGGTTTGTGTTGGGGCTCAGGGCTGAGGATTTGGGGGTGCACCTTGGTCCCAATTGTTGGTTTTGTCAACTCCCTAATCCCTGAGAGAGTAGAAGCTTTTTGCATCATGGTTTTGGCGAGTGTATATGCAGTGCAAATTATTAATCCGGGTGCGTGTATGTCGTTTCGAGGGATGCTAGTGCTTGTGACCTGAGGTTCATGGGTACGTACAAGTAGGTTGATGAGTTGGGCAGCTATAATTGCAACCTTCAGAAGGGCACGTTTCGCACTCCTTAAGCCCTAAACCCTAAAACCTAAACCCTAAACCCTATGAACCCCCAAGTGGGCTTCTAACAAGGGCCTCCGTTTACAACAGTCTGTCTTCCGTGCTGTTCGGATGCCATGATCTTAGACGGCTAGACCCCATACTATTTGCTTCAGAACCCCCCTATATATATATATACATATATATATATATGCACATAATCATTCCTATATTGACGTTGTCAGGAAGAATCTTTTTGTTGTTTTGGTGGTTCTTAAGCAAATAGTAGCAAAGCTCGCAAGCCTGTTTATGCCCTGACCCAAATCCCTACAGAAGCGAGGTCTCTGGGGGCAAAGGCTTGGAACAAAGAGTCCTAAGGAGCATTCTGCGGTATGACTGGCGAGATTCAGGGTTTGGGGTTTAGGGTCTAGAAGTAGGGTCTAGAAGTAGCTTCTAGCAGTAGGGAATCTAGGACCAGGGTTTGACAGGTCACGCCGTCAATGCCATCGCATGGCACGACACCGATGGTGACCATGCTATCAGATACTTAGCTCATGATGCAGGTTGAGAGTCTCGGGTCTAGTTTTTTCGAGGTTTGAGGGTTCTCTAGGGTTTTTCGTTCTTCTTGTCTGGAAGGTGTTTGGGCTTACCTGGGATTCTTGGCTTACCTGGGTCTCTCATTTTTTTGATGGGCAGACCACGTACTGGGGGGTGGTCAGGGTTTGTGGTGCCCACGGTATAGAGTAGAGGATCAATGTCTGTTAGCGCGTGCCTGTGTGCAAGAGTGTGTGAGAGAGAGAGAGAGTGCGTGTGCTGCTTTTGTGTGTGTGTCTGTTTGTACATCCGATATCTGTTAGTGTGTGTATGTGCTGGGTTCAGGGTTCAGAATGGGTGGGGCGGGTGGGTGGGTGGGTGGGTGGGGTGGGGGTGGAGTGGGGCTTGGGTGGATGTTCTGTGGAATCGCTCGGAACCCGAAAGCCCTAAATCCTGTTCGTTGAGAGCAACCCTTAAACTCTGGCCTACAGCCACAATTACCGTCTTAAAAGAACCACACGCAGGAGCGAAAAGCAAACGAATTTATCTATCTGTAGATCTATCTATCTACAGTTCTATCAATCATTCCTGCCCATCTACTATCATGTATGCAGAGTGGTTCTATACATTTGTTATGCATATGCTCTTTTTGTTTTAAATCTCTCTCTCTATATATATATATATGTATATGTACATATATGTATGTATGCATGTATGTACCTGCCTTATGTATATAGATAGACCACTATTTGCAACAAACTTCAGTGAGCTACTTCACATGAGTCCCACGCTCGAATTCCAAGACATGAATGTAGGGTTTCGGGCTCGGGGCGAAGTAGGCCTCAGCCCCCCCGCCGCCCTAAACCCTAAACCCTAAACCCTAAACCCTTTAAGCTTGCAGATTCATACATGGTCCTTCACGGCTTCGGCTTTGGGGTTTAAGGTGCGGGGTTGAGGGATGCCTGCTTCATCCCACAGACCCAACCCTTTCTAGCCCCTACCCCCAAACTACGGCTCAAGGCCATATTTTCTGCAGGGGCAGTATGACAGAGGAGGCAGGTAACCCTAAACCCTATAAACCCTATAAACCCTATAAACCCTATAAACCCTAGACCCTAAACCCTAAACCGTTAAACCCTAAGCCCTAAACCCTAAATCCCAAACCCTACCTGGCACTTGCCTTGCCCCTTACGATCATATGAGGCTTGGAGGAGTATCGTGACGGCTTCGCCTACTGGCCCCCTGGCCTCGGCATTAGGGTTTAGGGTTTAGGGTTTAGGGTTTAGGGTCTAGGGTCTAGGGTCTAGGGTTGAGGGTCCCTATGCCCTCAACTGGCCCACTAACCACTGAAACGCTTCCTCCTGGATGCCTTGGGAACCGGGTATGTCAATGTGGCTTTGGCAGTTTCAGGGCCTCTGTTTGCTTAGGGTTTACATAGGTTTTTTCTATTGGGTTTTATAAGGGCTTCCTAGGTTTAAAAGGGTCCTATAGGGTTTTATAGGGTGATATAGTGCTTGTGGGTTTTATGGGGTTTGTAGGGTTCGAGGGCTTACGTTTATAGGGTTTAAGGTTGGGATGAATTTTGGGGCTTCTAGGGTTCACGTGCTTTCGCGCAGGTCTCAGAAGGAGCGGTAGAGACTGAGGCCCCTAGACCAACTCCAGTGCAAACTTGGACAAGTTCCTAAGACTTCCCTGAGGAACCATGTTTCCATATAGGCTTCACGGCGAAGCCCTAAGCCCTAAACCCTCAGCCCTTCAAGGCCCAAGAAAACGCACAAGTTGGTACTTGGCACCCTTTGGTCTTTCCACGATTCTTATACTTGGAGGAGCCCCAAACCCTAAACCCTAAAACCCCAAGCCGTGGGTAAAGTTTGCGGGCGGAAACCTCTTAGAACCCTAAACCCTAAACCTTAAACCCTAAACCCTAAACCCTAAAACCCTAAACCCTAAACGCCACTCACCACTGAGCCCCGGCTCCTGACTCGAAGCGCAGGTGTTAGATCAAGCGAAGGGCTAGGTTAACTTAGATTAGTTTAACTTAGGGTTTCGGGGGGTCAGGGGTTTAGGGTTTAGGATTTAGGATTTGGGGTTTAGGGGCGTTCCGCTTTGATGAGCTCCTTGTCTTTCCTTTTGTGATGGATGTTCTAAGCCCTAAACCCTAAATAAACCCTATAAGCCCCAAACCCGAAGCCCTAAACCCTAAACCCTAAACCGTTTTGTTTGTTTCATTGTCGCCAAGCCGAGGTCCTCCGTCACGAGCGCGGCCATCAAGGCCACGCCAAAGGACAGGTGCCCTCCAGGGAGTTGAGGGTTTTGCCCGGGGGGGGGGGGGTGTGGGGGCTTAGAGGAGCCCTAAACCCTAAACCCTAAACCCTAAACCCTAAACCCTCTCGAGCCGTCATGCGAAAGTGCGAAAGTGAGGGCCTTTGGGGTCTTTAGGCAGCTCGAGGAGCTGCAAGGGTAAAGAGATGTGGTTTCGGGTTCAGGGTTTAGGGCTTCGGGGTTTAGGGTTTATGCTTTAGGCCCAAACACTGGCCTACTGTAGTAAAGTTCATCACTCTTTGTGGTACTTTTGGAGCGCATTGCTGATTGACGACCTGCCCCATAAGCTCTGTAAATGAGCCCTTAACTCTAAACCCTAAGCCCTAACCCTTAAATCCGAAACCCTCAACCCTCAACCCTTAACCCTAAACCCTAAACCCTGAGCCCTAAGCCCTAAACCCTAAACCCTCAACCCTAAACCCTAAACCCTGAGCCCTAAACCCTAAACCCTAAACCCTAAACCCTGAGCCCTAACCCCTACACCCTAAACCCTGAGCCCTGAACCCTAAACCCTAAACCCTCAACCCAAACCCCCCAGGAGTGGCGTAAGTTCCAGCTCATCGGCACTGTGGAGAATCTCGAGGAGCTCTGGGTGTCCATGGATTTAGGGTTTAGGGTTTAGGGTTTAGTGTCTAGACCTGTTAACTCGAAACTGCGCACTCGAAGCCTCATAGAGAGCCTGCATCTAGGGCTATGACAGCTCTGTACCCTTCGGGGGGTCGAGGGTTGAGGGCTTAAGGTGGAGGGTGTAGGATTGAAAAACCCTAAACCCTAAACCCTAAACCCTAAACCCTAAACCCTAAACCCTAAACCCTAAACCCTAAGTTTGTTCTACTTTGTTTAGTGTCCGAGTTTATGGAGTGTCGAGTTTTGGGCATGCGTTGCGGTCGAGGGTTTAGTGTACAGCGCCCGGGTTGGAGCTTAGGGCTTAGGGCTAAGGGTTTGAGGTTTAGGATTTAGGGCTTAGGGTCTTGGGTTTGGGTTTAGGGCTTAGGGTTTAGGGTTTAGGGTTTCGGGTTTAGGGTTTAGGGCTTAGGAACCCCATCGGTGGTGAATCGGAGTCTGGCCTGCCCTCAGTGCAGCAACAAAAAAGGGACCCATGGTTTAGGGTTTAGGGGTTAGGGGTTAGGGTTAAGGGTTTAGGGCCCCCTTAGACTGTTTAGCGTTCAGGGTTTAGGGTTTCGGGGTTAGGGGTTAGGGTTAAGGGTTTAGGGCCCCCTTAGACTAACAGTCGTTTATAGGGACTATAACTGGGGGTACTATAATCCCTACTAAGGACTGTTAGTATAAGGGACCCCAACATGTCTATGTGAACAAAAGGGAGTTTACGATAATAAGGGACCTCGACAATCGACCCCCCGAACAGTAGGATTCCCTTATAATGAGGACCCGGAAACCCCCTCTTGGAGGTTCATGGGCCCTTTAAGTGCCCTAATGCGGTTGTAAGTAGAGTTATAAACCCTAAACCCTAAACCCTAAACCCTAAACCCTAAACCCTAAACCCTAAACCCTAAACCCTAAACCCTAAACCCTAAACCTCTAATTTCGGAAACCCCCCATGTATGTAGGACGTTCCCGACGCGCTGTCCCGGAAGATGAGAGAGGCCGGACATCGACTGCACCCAGAGACTCCAAAACCCCTTTAGGGGTTTAGGGTTAGGGTTTAGGGTTTAGTGTTTAGGGTAATTAAGAAATATCCCTCAAATTATAGTCGGAACCCAATATGATTTCAGGCATGTTCCTTAATTCAGGGGTTTTGGAGTCTCTGACTGGTTCAGGGTTCCGGGCTTGGGGGCGGGCAGTTCTCAGAAAGAGGGTTTCGGGTTTTTTTCGGGTTTTGGGGTTTTAGGGTTTATAAGTCCTAAACCACCCCAGAAACCCTATACCCTAAGACCCTGAACCCTAAACCACTAAACCAATCATTTTGAACAGCCAACCCCCTCGCCCCCCCCCCCCCCCCCCTTCCCACGTGCTTACAGACCAAAGCTCTTGGGAACCAGACCACGGGCCGTGGATTTAGGGTTTAGGGTTTAGGGTTTAGGGTTTGGGGTTTAGGGTTTGGGGTTTAGGGTTTAGGGTTTAGGGTTTAGGGCTTAGGGCTTAGGGTTGAGGGAACCCAGGAGGTTTCATGACTTTGGGGTGCTTGGGCTCGGGAAAGCCCTAAACCTTGTGCTGTTTCCCCTTATACTCACAGTCCTCCCTAAACCCTAAACCCTAAACCCTAAACTCCTTAATAGGGATCATAGGTGCCCCAAGTTAGAATCGCAATTAAGGACTGTTAGTATAAGGGGGAACATCCCAACCTAGAACCCCCAACAACCCTAACCCCATGACTTCACCCAGAACCCCAATGAGCTCTAAACCTCTACCGTAAGCCCAAGCCCCAAACCCTATACCCTAAACCCTAGACCACCCCAAACCCTAGCCTCCTCAAAACCCTGTGCCCCCCCCCCCCCCCCCCCCAAACCCCACACAACCCAAAGCCCCAAACCCCGCAAGCCCCAGACCCTACAAACCCTAAACCTGCTAAACCCTAAACATCACAAACCCTAAACCCTAATCCCTAATCCCTACACCCTAAACCCTAAACCCTATTTCCTAAACCCTAAACCCATGCCAAGGCTTCTCTACGGGAAGAAGCCCGCCTCCGGTCTGCCAAAGAGCAGCGATCGGATCTGTGAGCTTCACTGAGGTTTAGGGTTTAGGGTTTAGGGTTTAGGGTTAGGTTGTAGGGTTAAGGGTTTAGAGTTTAGGGTGAGCAGTTCGAGGTACCCTTGAAAAGACATGCCCACTCAGAAAGCTCATAGCAGGGCTACAGAAGGCTTTTGTTTTTTTTAGCCTAAGGGCAAGGCTCTTGGGGATAAGGTGGTTGTGGCACGGCTTTTCTCAACCATCGGAAGTAGTTCGGGTGTCTATTGCGGGGATTGGCGAGAGTATACAGACTCGTTTGCATGGTTCCTTCAAATATTGCGGGCCCTAAACCCTAAACCCTAAACCCTAAACCCTAAACCCTAAACCCTAAACCCTAAACCCTAAACCCTAAACAGCTTCACAGGGCCATGAGGGCTTCGGGTTGCCGGTGTTTATCTGCTGCTCTTGCTCCAGAGAGCACGCTGCGGTAGAAGGAGGCAGAAAAAAGGCAAATGACCCGGAAAGCCTAGGGTTTAGGGTTTAGGGTTTAGGATTTAGGATTTAGGGTTTAGGGTTTACGTTTAGGGTTTAGGGTTAAACCCTAAACTTCAAAGACCCTAAACCCCCGAAAATTCACCCTAAACCCTAAACCCTGAACCCCGAACCACCGACTGCGCATGCTTGGCCAGACTTTCCCTGACACACTGGGGGTGCCAATAGCACGAGTGAGGGCTTTAAGGTTTCCAAGATTGTACCCCCCATCCCCGTAGATGCCTGAACCTTCTATACCCTACAATACCATCAGCCCTAAACCCCACACCTTATAGCTCCTATGAACCCTACACCTCTAAACCCGGTAAATCCTACAAGTCCTACAAACCCTATAAACTGCAAATCCTGAACACCATCAACCCCAAGCCCACATACGTCCTATAATAAAACCCTAGAAACCCTGGGCTCGGAGTTGGGGTACAGGGTTCAGGGTTCAGGGTTCAGGGTTCAGGGTTTAGGGTTTAGGGTTTAGGGTTTAGGGTTTAGGGTTTAGGGTTTAGGGTTACGTAGTCAACTTAGACCAGGTAGGTTTGGGTTTGGAAATTGCTGTAATACATTGCAAGGTACATTCAGCAAAGGCCCTGAGCACCAAGCCCTGCAGCATGTTTCAATGAGCTGTCATCTAGTTCGGGGCTCGGGGCTTATGCTACCCCACAAGCATCCAGGTACCAAATAGGGTACGAACACTTGGGCTTCAAAGTAGTTCTGTGTAGGTAGTTTGGGTCTAGGGCTTAGAGTTCTTATGCCCTCACCTACAAAGCCTGTGTCCCTGTGTAGGGTAGGGTAGAAAAAGATGCCAGGCACTTGGGGCCCTAGGCCCCGTTTTGCCATTTAAGACCTGAACCCCCAAGTACCCCGCAACGGCCTCCGGGTGCTTTAGTGGGAGTCTTGTGTGGGGGGGGTTGAGGGTGTAGCTGGGTTTTGGAGTACTATACTTTAATCCATTTTTTTGTTTCTGGGTTCCGATTATAGCTACTTTTACCTTAAAAGTATACCCTTTTTTGCAGGGTCTACTCCTTTCATTTTTACACTATTTGGCGCTTGGAGGCCAAAAAGGTCCACTGCTGATGATGTGAAGACATGTCTACCACAACCCCTGTATCCCAGAAGCTCCAGGAATACCCCTGATTAAACCCCCAAACCCCCCAAACCCTAAACCCTAACTCCTAAACCCTAAACCCTCATCCCTAAACCCTAAACCCCAAGCCCTAAAGCCTAATTCCTAAACCCTCAACCCTAATTCCTCAACCCTAAACCCTAAACCCTAAACCCTAAACTCCCCAGGACTGGGACGAAGAAGAGCACGAGCAAGATCCGGAGTTCGTGCACGCATTGATCGAGCATTGGAGAATGGAGGCAGGGCACCCGGCAACTTGTACTTGGACTTACTTCGCCTTTAGTTGAACTTTAAACTTTCTGGGCTTCCTTATTTAGTAGGAATATTAAAGTTTAACCTTTTTCCCCTTGGTTATTGGAGAAGTAAGTGGAAGGCCTGCTGACTTGATGAGTGCAAGCAATTAGGCCATTAACCCTTTTCGGATTTAGGGTTTCGGGTGTTTACACTTGAGTGTTCACATTGGGTAGTGTACCCTGAGATCAACCCCCACTTACAGGCTAAACTCGGCTAAACTCTAAACCTGAACCCTAAACCCTGAACCTCTAACCTTGTTCTCCAGAAAGCGCAGTTCTTGTTCCTGGCAGGGGGCTTTCACCCGAAACCATAAAACCTCTTCACCAGAACCCCAGACTTTGAACCCTCAACAACCCTAAGCCCTAAAGCGTAAACACAAAGCCCTGAATTCCTGACCCAAAACCCTAAACCCACAACCCCAAAACCCCCAAACCCCCGAACCCCAAACCCCCAAAGCCCCAAACCCTAAACCCTAAACCCCAAACCGTAAACCCTAAACCCTAAACCCTAAACCCCAAACGAACCTGCAGGTTGAGGAGTGGATGGACAAGGGCCTCGGTGCGGTGAAGAGCGAGCGAACGCAGACGAAGAAGATCCAGGAGGGACCAGGTGAAAAATCACAACCCTACAAGGTCTTAGGGTTTAGGGTTTAGGGATATCTCAAAGGAACACAGCATGCGCTAGTGTCTCGAGGGTTTGGGGTTTGGGGTTTGGGGTTTGGGGTTTGGGGTTTAAAGCGGGTAAACACTACTCTCAACCCTGAACCCTAAACCCTGAGCCCTGAACTCCTCAAGGCCTAGAGCCTAGACCTTGACTTGTCAAGCCCAAAAGCCTTGAACTGTAAACCCTCTACACCCTATGCCCCAAGCCCTATAGGGTGTATGTGGTGGAGTCCCAAAAGCCCTTAGGACGATGACGGCTTTTTGGGGCACGTGAACGAAGAATACAGGCTAGATAGCTGCTTAACGCTAAAAGGTTTGGGGTTTTGTGTACTCTACACCCTAAACCCGAAACCCTAAACCCTAGACCCTAGACCCTAAGCCCTAAGCCCCGAACCTGAAGCTCGGAGTTTGGGATGAGGGGCCTATGGGGTTTGCAGGCCGCTTGGTTTCGGGACTACAGGGTGCTGGCATTCCCCTGAAGGGGAGCCTTCGCTTCACTTAATTGGTGGTTTAGGGTTTAGGGTTTAGGGTTTAGGGTTTAGGGATAGAAGGTCTTTTGAGCCCACTCTGACCCGCGCTTGAAGTTCACAGCCCAAGTCGGCCCTAACGCCGTCGAAGCCTCAAAGAAGCCCTAGGGTTTAGGGTTTAGGGTTTAGGGTTTAGGGTTTAGGGTTTAGGGTTTAGGGTTTAGGGTTTAGGGCTTAAGCTTTCACCAATCCTTCTGCGCTTCGCTGGTGCGAAGGACCAGATCAAGGCGCTTCTTTCCATGCCGTTCAACACGAACAGCAGCCGCCACCTGGTCATGATCAAGGCGGGGGCGTCTTTTGGTTTCGGGTTGAGGGCCAAACTCCGATAAGCCCTAAACCCTAAGTCCAATTGCGGCAGGTGGAGCACATCATGATCCCAAGGCATTCGGCTCTGAGCACATGCCGGCCGGAGCCCGAGGGTTTAGGGTTTAAGGTTTTAGGGTTTTCGGAGTTTAGGGTTTTAGGGTTTTAGGGTTTTGGAGTTTAGGGTTTAGGGTTTAGGGTTTGGGGGCTGGGGTTGATGTGGGACAGATATGTCAAGTTCTATGGGCACCAACCCCTGCACCGTAAACCGTAAACCCAAACCCTAAACCCGAAACCCTAAACCCTACAACCCTACAACCCTAAACCCTATACCACCCTCTGGAGGGTTGAGGGGTTTAGGCCCTGTAAAGTTTAGTTTTAGCAACTCCAGTATGCCAGGCCCTTATGGGACATGTTTTTTGCTTTCGCAATTTGGATGATGAGAATCTTGTTTAGAGGTTAGGGCTTTGAGAGTCTTTTTGCCAAGGGTGGTTTAGGGCGAGTACAATTCGTTGTTTTTTTAATTTTAGATTGGGCTCCCTATGGGCGGCGAAACCCGAAACCCTAAACCCGAACCCTAAACCCTGAGTTTGGGATTTGGGGGCTTGGGGGAATAGGGCTTTAGAGTTTTGGGCTTTGAGCTTTGTGGTACTTTACTGTAACTTTGGATCCTTAGCGTTTTTGGGTTTAGTGGGTTACCCTAAACCCTAAGCCCTAAACCCTAAACCCTAGACCCTAAACCCTAAACCCTAAACCCTAAACCCTACTACTTGCAGCCAAGTGAGGTTCAGAGTTTGGGGTTGATTTGGATTTTGTTGCTCATGTTCTATGGTCAGCCTTGAGCACTTGAATTTTGCATTTCAACTTGAGTTCAGGGTTTTCAGTTTGGGTTGTTTAGGTTCAGGGGCCGGGTGAAGGGGTGTCAGGGTTTAGGATGTCAGGGTTTAGGGCTTTAGGGTTTAGGGTTTAGGGTTTAGCATGCCAGGGATTAGCGTTTAGGGCTTCAGCCCTGAAGCAGCCACCCATGAAGCCCTGAGGCTTCAGGTGCGGTATGATTTCCTCTAAGCCTCGAAGCCTGAAGCAACCACCTAGACCCTCCTAAGCGTTTAGGGTTTAGGGTTTAGGGTTTAGGGCCAAAAGGGGGACCGGTGATCAGGAAAGACATGACGCGCGCGCCGCGCCAGACCTTTGCCGAGTTTTCTTCGCGAGTGCAATATCTAGTATAACCCTACACCCTGAAGCCTAAGCCCTAAGCCCTAAACCCTAAACCCTAAACCCTAAACCCTAACCCTAAACCCTGTTAACCCCCAAAAGATCGGCAGTGCAGCCATGTATGCTCTAGGTCAGACCTCCAGTCGACTCCGACACGCCGCCATGGCATGCAGCGCTGTTTCGTAGTGGAGTGCTGGCGATGCCCCTTACGATTCATGTGAGCCTGCTAAGTGGCAGGACTGTTTTGCTGGAAGCTGGGCCGGAGGAGACCGTGGAAGCCTTGCGGAGCAGGGCGCAAAAGACTCTGGCAGCCGGCAGGGGCAGACTTTTGAATGCCTCCGGATGCATACTGGATGGAGCCTTACTTATCCTTATTATTATTA